GCGGAAAACCTGTACACGAAGGATCTACCTGCGGAGAACCCATCGAATGTCCAAACTGCAAAGGGCCGCATAAAGCGGTCACTAAAACATGTCCAGTGTTCAAGATGGAAATGAAAATACAGGAGGTGAAGGTGATACAAAAGCTGTCGTACTCGGAAGCAAAAAAGAAAGTTGGGACAGTGAATCCCAGCACATCTTTTGCACAGGTTGCTTCAGTACCAACGTCAGTTCCCGTACAACCTGTCGGTCCTGAAATTAGAAAAATAATTAAGGAAGAAATGGAGGCATTAATGAGAATACTCACCACAAACCGATTAATTGTACAACCTCCCCCAAATGTTGTAGAAGTTCCCATATCAATTCCCGGGAACAGCGTTAATGTTTTCTCGGACCCTACTACGGCGTCAGAGGTAGAGGGTATGGACGCAGAGACGCGGGGGTCTAAACGTAAGACGTCTCCCGCTTTGTCTCGATCTAGGGAATCGAGTGTCACATCCGTAGATGATGATAAAGTTACTGAGGCAAAGCAACAGAGGAAGAGGAAAGGGTGGCCGAAAGGCAAACCCAGGAAACCCCGCAATTCGGGGCCAAGAGGGTCTTGTAGCAATTAATTTGTGATACAATCTGTGATATCCTAGTTATCTGTTCATTTTATTTGTAATAGTCCCATATACATTGTTATTTGTTATTTATTTATGTTATTTATCTCACCGTGATTGTCTTTTTATACAAAAATCTTCGAAAGGGGTACAAAAATTATACAATGGAATTGTAGAGGACTATCCAACAACTTAAATGAACTAAAACTACTTATACAAAGGCACACACCATTGTGTGTTGCCATTCAGGAAACACATTTAAAACCTGGAACAAAGTACAATGTTAAAAATTTCAGTTTAATTAGAAAGGATTTCTACTCACCTGCAAGAGCCTGTGGAGGAGTAGCATTTCTCATTCACAAAGGAACACCTTATAAACAAGTTAAATTAGATACAACTTACCAGGCTGTAGCCGTTAAACTTGAAATTAGTAGATCGTGTACACTTTGTAATATTTACACTCCCAATACAAATTATGATGTCGAAGAAATTCGAAAAATTATTGGGCAGCTTCCACCACCATTTATTCTTGTTGGGGATTTTAATTCCCACAACACCGTTTGGGGCTCCAGATCAAATGATGCTAGAGGGAAAGAACTGTTGGACCTGATTGAAAATAGTAACTTAAGCTTACTAAATGATGGCTCCGCTACATTTTTCAATGCAGGATCAGGCACATTTGACTCCATCGATGTATCAGTATGTTCACCAGGTATACATACTAGCCTGAAATGGGAGGTGGAAGATGATCTACATCATAGTGACCATTTTCCCATTATTATCACAGTCAGGGGTCACAATCTTCCAATAAAAACGATAGCTAAATATAAAATCCAAGTAGCAAATTGGGAACTCTTCACACAAGTCCTCGTCCCTCCTAATCAAGACAATCTAAATGTTAAAACCATTACCTCTTCCATCATAAACGCTGCTGACGCCAGCATACCTAAATCTAAACCTGGCAATAGGCGAAAGATGGTAATAGTTACCGGAAAATTCTAAGTGAACAAAAGCTTAACATAGGATGGGACCGTTGCAGAATTTATGATGCTGTGACAACTAGAAGATGCTACAAATGCAATGGGTTCGGACATAAGGCAACTGACTGTAGCAAAACTACTACCTGCCCCAAATGTGCGGGAGACCATGACCTAGCGAGCTGTAAAGCTTCGGACGCGGAAATCAAATGCAGTAACTGTGCCAACGCCGTTGAGAAACTAAAAATGAAACTGGATGTACAGCACCCGGCCTGGAGTGTTGATTGCCCAGTCTACAAAAAACGACTCGATCAAGAAAGAAGCAGAATTGATTTTTTAGGCCATCCCCAACACTAATCAAGCAAGGAAATAGGTACGGATCAACGCTCTCAATCTATTATCAGAACGTAAGTGGAATGCGAACGAAAGCGCAATCTTTCAAAAATAAATTGGCAATTACAAATTACGACATTATTCTACTGACTGAGACCTGGTTAACGGAAAATTTTCATGACGCTGAGTATTTAAACAATCAATATGCGGTCTTTCGCAATGACCGTAATTACGAAGAAATGAAGTGCACCATGGGAGGCGGAGTTTTAATCGCAGTCAAGACCGATTTGAATGCTGAAAAATTGGAATTTCAAAGTGATCTAAATGAAATATGGGTCAAACTTAAAATTAATAATACTTCATACATTATTGGTGTTGTCTACTTTCAACCGAAATCTGGTATTGATAAGTACGTGAGTTTTACCAAAAGTTTAGAAACAATTGAAAACATGTTGCATTCATCGGAAGTGTTAATAGCAGGCGATTTTAACCTACCACAAATTGTTGACGCCACGTATAATTTCGAAAACGCGAGTGCTAAATGCAAAGTAATTAAAAATATAGCTTCGATGTACAACTTAAAACTCATTAATACGGTTAAACTTAAAAACTGCAATAATAGAACCCTTGACCTAATTTTAACTAACTTAAACGCGGAAATTAAATCTGCTGTCGACTCACTGGATAAAATTAATCCACTTCATCCTGCACTAGAAATAGTCTACAAAGTCCATAGACCAGCTAAGCGAATTACCAAATTAACCAACTTCAATTTCAAAAAAGCAGATTTTCTTAAAATGTACGTCCTTTTTCGCGATATCAATTGGAAGGAGTCTCTTATCCTGAAGAATTTCAAATCGGTAGATGATGCAGTAACTAGCTTTAATCAAACGGTAATGAACATTTTCGATGAATGTGTCCCCAAAGTGACAATTAGGAGTGCCAATAAGTATCCTAGCTGGTTTAATATAGACATTATTAAGAAAATCAAACAGAAAAATAAGTTTCGGTTACAGGGCCCATCGGAAGACTTCATTGAAGCCAGAAAAGAACTCAAAAGAATGATCCACATTGCTCATAAGAGGTACATTAATCAAATTGAAATGGATCTGCGGAAGAATTCCAATAAATTCTGGAACTACATCAAGTCGTTGAGGAAGAATAGTCAACTACTTGGAGTTTTTGAGTACAAAGACACCTCGTTAACGGACGCCAGAAGCATTGCGGACGCCTTTGCATCCTTCTTCGAGTCAGTCTACACTATGGAGAGGAACGATGACCGGAAGATGACGTGGAATCGGACCTGGTGCTATCCAAATTGCACTTGACTCAGTTACATGAATCCGAGATACTGGAAGCAATTAAAAAATTGAAACAGAGGTCGGCTATAGGCGAAGATGGAATCCCACCCTACATCGTGAAAGCATGTGCATCTTTATTGCTAACCCCCTTACTACATCTATTTAATTTAGCTTTGCAAACATGTACATTCCCTGAAGCTTGGAAATGCACCAGAATAACACCAATTCACAAAAGTGGAAGCCGAAAATTAGTTGAGAATTATCGCCCAATTGCAATTATACCAGCAATAGCGAAAATTTTCGAAAGAGTGATCTATACTAGACTTTATTCCCATCTCAGCAGTATAATTGCAGATCAGCAGCACGGTTTCACGCGGAACAGATCAACGATTACAAATTTAATGCAGTTTACGCATTTCTCAGCAGGAGCCTTGGATGAGAGAGCCCAGGTGGACTGTGTTTATACAGATTTTGCGAAGGCATTTGATACAGTATCCCATCAAGTCTTGCTCCGTAAACTTGTTTTAAATTGCGTAAGTAATCCGACCGTCAAATTCTTAAAATCATATTTATCTCTCCGTAAAACAAGAGTGAAATTCAATGGTGTGAATTCAGCCGAATTTTATCCCTCATCAGGCGTTCCCCAGGGAACACTTCTTGGTCCTTTTCTGTTTCTCTTATACATAAATGATTTACCGCGAGTGATAAAAAACTCGAAAGCACTACTATTTGCGGACGACCTAAAACTTTTTAATAAAGTCCAATCCCCAAGTGACTGTTTAAATATTCAAGAGGACATTAACTCAGTAATTAAGTGGTGTATCAAAAATAAACTAAAACTAAATATCAATAAGTGTAAAGTCCTTACTTTTACTAGATCGAAAAATCCCTTACTTTTTGACTATAAGATGAATGGAAAGGTCTTACTACGAGTCACCTCCGTTAAGGACCTGGGCGTGTTTTTCAATACCAACCTTAACTTTAACTTACACATTGAATACCTAACAAATTAGTGTTACAAACTTCTTGGTTTCGTTATCAGGCATACACTCAATTTCACGAATATACAGACAATGCTAACCTTATATAATGCGTTTATTAGATCCAAGCTTGAGTATGCTGCATATATCTGGTCTCCTCAAACTCTCAAATACTCAGACATGATCGAAAAAGTGCAGAAAAAGTTCATCCGAGTAATGTTTTTTAGGTCAACCCAAAATTATCCACATTTGATCTCTTACGATACCCAGCTTAATTACTTAAATAGTACTTTCGGCTTAGATATAACGAGGTTAGAAACCCGACGGTACATTGCCTCCACAATTTTTGTCTTCAAAATTTTACACAACTTGTTATACTCTTCCGAATTACTTCAAGAAATTAAGCTTAAGGTACCATTTGTTAAGCTAAGGCAAATTAATACTATTTTTGTAGTTAACAACACAACTTCCCCACTTATTAAGATCTTGATCGCTTTAAATAAGTTATCCTCAGTTAATGATATCGACTTTTTTCACGATCCCCGAAATTCAATAATAAATAAAATTAGATCCTAGTCCTAATATTTGTTCAGAGCCCCAGTGCCATGTAATTGGAATTTTTATTCTGTATGGTTTCTGGTTAAATAAATAAATAAATAAATAAATAAATAAATAAATAAAGAAACGTCGTGGAACATCATCCGAGAGTTCTTCAACCGACCAAATGTTCCTACATGCTTGAGCCCGCTACCGCCATCACCGGCCAGGGCGCACCAGATCATCCGCCGGGTGCACATTCCGATAACTGACATGTCAGTTCCCTACCATTACATCAATCCATCAATGGTGCATACTAACGACCCCAGAAGATACGCCGTTGCCGTTCGCCAGCAATACTGCCGAGTAAACAACGCTCAATGTACATCTGTAAATATGTATATATATTATATTGTAAATAAATCATTGCAACATCGCAACCAGCGCAAAAATATTAATAAATAAATAATAATGGCCATTTTGTTTTGTTATGGCAACTGTGATTTGGTCAAACAATTTGATAATATATTATAAATGCAAATATTAAAAAAAAGGCCAAAACAAATGTTAACATAAATTTTTGCAATCAGAAAGAAAAGATTATTCAATTTTTTAAAAATATACTGTGTGTTTTATTAAAAATGTGCATCTTTTTACTATGCGATATTCATTGGTTTTTTTACTTTACATTTTCTGACGATTTATGACAAACCCCACAACTTTTGTGTTTAAAGTTTTTTTTTTTTTTCTATCTCTTATAACCGAGGCACGTGGCGCAGTGGTCGCGCTCACCGATGCTATTCGGGAGGTTGTGGGTTCGAATCCCGCTGCCGATTGCTCTGTCTGGGGTTTTGTCAGGGGGTTTTCCTCAGACATACGTAGCTTCGCATAATGCTAGCATTATGTTGAAATCTACGAGGCAAATGCTGGAGCAGTACTCTCCCCCTCAGCACCCTAACTCCGTTCCTTCCGTTCCCATTTACCCATCCTTACAATCCCGTTCTCTGGCTGAAGAGGGCCAGGAAGCCCTGAGCAGCCCGCCTCCGGTATCCCTGTAGTCAGGGGTGCCGGAGGAATGAAACACGTTGGCCTTTTTCCTTATCTCTTATAAGAAATGCGCTACCCTGTACAATTGGTAAAAATTTCCGAGCATTTCCAAATTTCTAGCATTTTCAAAGTGGTGTACCCCGGTTAATACATTTGAAGGTCTAAATTACTAGAAACGACTTTTAGAATAAAAACAATTTGGTAACTCCAAGAAACGGGGAACTTCTCATAGCAGCCACCCAAGATTTCCTGACGGGCGCCTACATTCTAACCAAAAAGGATACGTTTCTCGATTTCGTACACGCGTCCCAACTGGCTGCGACAATTCTAGCAGGGGAGGACGCAAACCTCATCATCAATCTTCCACCTCCCGCCATTTTAAAGGTTTTTATCATATTACTCAATTGACGAGCACTAATCCACAGTTAGCCTAGACGTTTATGGACCGGCAAGCAAATTTTTGGCATCATACTGAAGCCCAACAGGGAAAGTACGATAAAAGCGAACCTGGAGGCGAAAGGCAAGGCCTACACGAAGGACAAGGAGCTGTGCGTTAAGGACTCGTACGTGTTGATCCGTAATTCGGAGCTACTCGCCGGCACGCTCGACAAAGGTCACTTAGGTTCGGGCGGAAAAGGTAGCAATATATTTTACGTGATCCTGAGGGACTTCGGGCAGGCGTTTGCGATTAAATCGATGTGGCGGTTGGGTAAATTGGCTTCCTATCTCTTGATGAATAGCGGATTTTCGATTGGTATTGGCGACGTCACGCCCGGGGAGAACTTAATTCGTAAAAAGAACGCCTTACTGGATGGAGGGTAAGATGTGTTGTGTAGCGAACGGTACTCACTTGTGGTTAGGTATTCCAAGTGCGATGAGTACATTAAAGCCATGGCCGAAGGCAAGCTGCCTTGTCAACCGGGATGTAGTGAGGAAGAGACGTTGGAAGCTGTCATTTTAAAAGAACTATCCGTTATTCGTGAACACGCGGGACAGGCTTGCGTATCCGAGTTGCATCCTACAAACAGTCCGTTAATTATGGCATTGTCTGGATCGAAAGGTAACGTTTGACAGATTCAGTTCATTAAAAATTAAAAAGTGAGGACGATGGTTCCTCCGTCACATCCGCTTGTGCGCTGATGACTAATCTTTCATGGCGCCTCGATGTCTATTGAAATTTCTGGAATGTTTGCCACTTGCCAGAGCTGGGCAGAATACTTTCAAAAAGTATTTTAGCTCCAAGATTGGGCTGCTAGTTCAAAAGTTACAGCCCTTTGAATTTTCTTTCGAAATTGGTTTCTAGTCTATAACTTTTGATTGAGAAGTCTGATCGAAAAAGTACGAATTGTTTTTGATTCTACGCACCAAAATTAATAAGAAAAAGTGTTTTCCCGAGAAATTTTGGTGTAGTCGATTTTTGGTAAAAAAGGAAGGTTATACACTGCCTTTTTTTGAGGCCCGCAAAAAAAATTGTCTCAGATCGACCCGGAAAAAAATTTTCTTATAGAATGTGGCCTGTAGAATCCATAATTTCAAACAGTTTGAAGATTGGGCTACTACTTCAAAAGTTACAGCCCTTTGAATTTTCTTTCGAAGTTGGTTTCTAGTCTATAACTTTTGATTGAGAAGTCTGATCGAAAAAGTACGAATTGTTTTGGATTCTACGGACCAAAATTAATAAGAAAAAGTTTTTTTCCGAGAAATTTTGGTGCAGTCGTTTTTTGGGAAAAAGGAAGGTAATACACTGCCTTTTTTTTGCCCCGAAAAAAAAATTGTCTCAGAACGACCCGGAAAAAAAATTTTCTTATAGAACGTGGCCTGTAGAATCCATAATTTCAAACAATTCCAAGATTGGGCTACTAGTTCAAAAGTTACAGCCCTTTGAATTTTTTTTGGAAATTGCTTTCTAGTCTATAGCTCTTGATTGAGAAGTCTCATCGAAAAAGTACGAATTGTTTTGGATTCTACGCACCAAAATTAACAAGAAAAAGTGTTTTCCCGAGAAATTTTAGTGCAGTCGATTTTTGGTAAAAAACTGCTTCCATAAAAGTATTTAATTACAAAGTATTTGAATACTTTAAAGGATTTGAATACTAAAAAGTATTTACAAAATGGAATACTGCCCAGCTCTGCCACTTGCCTAATAAAGGGTTCAATTTTAGGTTCATTTATCAACATTTCCCAGATGATAGCGTGCGTAGGGCAGCAAGCGTTAAACGGCAAACGCGTGCCCAACGGATTTAACGATCGATCTTTGCCGCACTTCGAACACAACTGTAAGTATCGGGGCGTTTCCGTTTGCCACTTTAACCGGCGCCTTACAGCGAAGACCCCTGCGGCGAAGGGCTTTGTCGAGAATAGCTTCTATTCGGGCTTAACGCCGACCGAGTTTTTCTTTCACACCATGGGCGGCAGAGAGGGGCTGGTGGATACCGCCGTTAAAACTGCAGAGACCGGCTACATGCAGCGACGTTTAGTTAAGGTAAATTGGACGCGAGCAAACGGTGGAAATTAATTTTGTACGTTTAGTCACTAGAAGACTTGGTGGTGCATTACGACGGGTCGGTGCGTAACGCCGAAGGCGATATCATTCAGATTTCGTACGGATGTGACGGCTTAGATCCCTCTTGTATGGAAGGTAATTGCTAAGTCTGGCGGTAGTGTGTTTGTGTAAACCGTTTTTGAAATAGGAAAAGATTGTCCGGTGGATTTCGATCGTGTCTTGGCCCACATACGCGCGAAGTGTCCTTATAGGGACGAAATTGCTTTAGATGCTGATCAAATTCGTCGAGCAACAAAGGCGTTTTTAGCAACAAACTCTTTGAACGAGTGCAGTGAAGACTTTAAGAGCGAGTTAAGGTACGTAGATTCTTGTGATGTGAAAACCAATACTGGTACTGTCATGTTGTTTTATTAGAGAAGCATAATTATGTAGAAAGTGTATGCGGTAGCGGGTGCTCCAAAGGAACTCAAGAGTTCGAATTCTTCCTTGTGTGTTTTACTCAATTGGAGCCATGCGCTTCGTCAATTTCAGTCGCCTGTTAGGTTTATAGGCCCGGAATCCATCTGACAGCATTATTCATGCTGACACGGGTGGTAAAACTGAAATGGATGCGTGTCCGCTCATTCCATTGTTTCTTCAGCCATGAGTAGTTGGGTTAAGTGTGTCGTCATGCGACACCGTGGCAGGTTGATGGCGGGACATAAGGAAATTACTTGGGAAAATTTTCGGCAATTCCTGCTTCCCATTTCAACCTAAAGAAAAATTAAAAACACCCTCGGAGAGATAATTAAATTAGATGTCACCAAAAAAGCGTGCCTAACCGATTTTTTAAAAGGATAAAAGTTAAATAAATAAATCTAAAAAGGTAGTAAAAAATTGGTTGGCCATGATTTACCTACAGCATTTGTCACCTAATTCTTTGATTTAACTGTCATCTCTAATAAACACGCCAACTAGAATAATAATTACAGTACAGAAAAAAAGGTCTTTATTGTAAAATCGTTTTGTACTGGGAATAATACACGGCGAAGTTCGTGATTTATTTTCAGTCAAGTTTGATGACAGGTCAATCTTTTACAGTATAATTATTATATCCAAAATATTTAACTATATTATTTATAATAGAATATTGAACTTTGTAAAAGAATCTCAAATATTACCAGAAGATCAGTGTGGTTTTAGAAGAGGAAGGGACTGTCAAGACAATATTTTTATACTTAATGCAATTATTTTTAATAATATTCGTTTAAAAAAGCAAAGGATGTACGTTCTATTTGTAGATTTCAAAAAGGCATTTGATTCAATTCAACACGATCTTTTATGGTAAAACGGGAATAAGTGCTAAACTCATAAGATTAATAAAAGGTTTTTACTCTAAAGCGACATTGCAGATCGAGCAAGAGGGGCGTCAATCAGAGGCAATTAATATCACCAAAGGTGTGCTACAGGGTGATGTTCTAAGTCCCTTACTCTTTTCTTTCTTCACAGCAGACATGGAAGCGTTTTTGAAAAATTAAGGAGTAAGTGGAGCTCCTTTAGATGCCGGAACTGATATAACGCTTTTAATGTACGCTGATGATTTGGTCATATTTGCTAAGTCTGCGCCAAACATGAGAAAAGCATTACGGGCACTAGAAAGTTACCGTTCTGTTAACAGCCTAACTGTTGACGTGGATAAAACAAAAATTATTGTATTTCGGTACACACAAATCAAAAAGTTCATAGAGAGCATTCGCGAAGATTAGGTACCTTAACCTAGAATGGGTAGATAACAATTACATTTTAGACACCCTTGATAAATACACTAACAAAAACTAACGATGATTGGGATAAAGTACTTTTGAGTGTATATTGTAACACTCTGAAACAAAACCCTCTCGCAAACACATCAGACTCCATCATAAGATTGCCGATTCCCTTGAAACATAAAAGAATCTTAATGCAAATTAAAACTCACAATAAAGATATGGTAGTAATGTACAGGGTGGCCAATTAAGAATGCGAGGTATTGTATCTGAGAATCTATCCATCGTAGAGGCTTGCGGTAAAAAAATTTATTACTGAAACGGCCACGAGCAAAACCTGGAAAATATTTTTAAGTTTCTGAAATGGCCGCTAGAGGGCGTAACTGCAATCTGGAAGCTAAAAAAGTGATGTTTCTGTGAATTCCGCTATATTAACCTAGCAAAAAAATGTCCGGTCTTTGAAGTTGACGATAATCTGAACAATTTTTGTTTGACAATTTTTCCTGTATCTCTAAAAATGCAGTGGTGGGGGGTATTCAAAGGTTTCTGTAAAGAACACCCTGTATCTTCGAAATAGCTGAGCCGATTTAAACAAAGTCGGGTTAGTTCAAAAGAGCCTTCACCTACAAATATTATACTATTTGAAGTTTTGTTAGTTTCACATATCACCGCTTGAGCGCTTTTTTCGACATTCCGACAGAAATGGTTAATTTTTTCAAAAAAATTAAATGCATTGGTCCGATTTTTTTTTTCATGAAAAAGTTGTTAAATGATGCCTAAACAAGTTCGCAAAAACAGCATCTCGATATCTAGAGGCATTTCCTTTTTTAAATCGATGCACCTTAGGACCACAAATTATATAATAAAAATAATTCCGGAAAAATTAGCTTAAAAAAAATAAAATTTTGAGAGTACAAAATTATCTTTGGCCTAAATTTTAGGTTAGGAACAAGATATCGAGATGCGGTTTTCGCGAGCTTGTTTAGACATCATTTAGCTACTTTTTTATGAAAAAAAATCAAACCAACGCATTTAATTTTTTTGAGAAAATTAACCATTTTTGTCGGAATGTCTAAAAAAACCCTCAAGCGGCGATATGTGAAACTAACAAAACCTCAAATATTATAATATTTGTAGCCGAAGAATAACTCTTTTCAATTAACCCGAGTTTGTTAAAATCGGCTCAATCGTTTCGAAGATACAGGGTGTTCTTTACGGAAACCTTTGAATACCCCCCACCACTTCATTTTTAGAGATACAGGAAAAATTGTCAAACAAAAATTGTTCAGATTATCGTCAACTTCAAAGACCGGACATTTTTTTGTTAGGTTAATATAGCGAAATTCACAGATTCCAGATTGCAGTTACGCCCCTAGCGGCCGTTGCAGAAACTTAAAAATATTTTCCAGGTTTTTCTTGTGGCCGTTTTAGTAATAAATTTTTTTACCGCAAGCCTCTACGATGGACAGGTTCCCAGATACAGTACCTCGCATTCTTATTTGGCCACCCTGTACGTCAATAAAATCAACTATAAAATAAAACTCACAGATATATGTACTACATGCAACACACATCAATGCGAAACTCTCCAACATTTCTTCTTTGAGTGCCCACTATACCAACCTCTCAGAAAAGAGCTTGTTACTATTTTTCCAGATCGTGTTATATTTACAATATTACAAAATTTAAACAGAAACAATTTTTCTGATGGAGACTATGAAGTTGAGATCATTTCTGTTGAATGAGTGACAGAATATCAATAATTACAAAAGTAAATAAATTAAGAAATTTGCTCTCTTTCGTATGGAGTACCTACAGCCGAAGAATAGATATTGATTTTGCTATACCTTTTTTTTTATGTTGTGCTTTTCTTTTAAATTCGAATGTTATGTTTGATGGTTTTCTTTTTCTTGCTAGTGAAGATTAATTTGTTCATGATATAAATGTCAACGGAACAATAAAGATTATTATTATTATTATTATCCGATGGATATTTTAATTATCTATCCGATAATGTTTTTATTTTTCCTGTAAGTTAAAATGGCGAGCAGGAATTGCCGAAAATGTATTTTCCTCCCTATGTTCCGTTGCCAACCTCCCACACTGTATATTTGTCATAGTGTGTCCAAATAAAGTCATTATTATTATTTATTATTATGATGTGTGATGCGCTGGCGTCGTCGATGGAGGTTGCTGTTGCAAATTTCTTAGAGCGGATTGGGTGGAGAGTTGAAAGTTATTGGTGGGGGCGCGGTTAAATTAGGTGAGTGCAACGTGTTATAATAATAATATTTTTTCACTACTAGCGTCTGATGACATGATTATTAACCTTTTTTCCACTTGTAAAGTAGGCTTTCTCGGCATTTGTTCAAAGTGGTTAATAATTTTTTATTATTAACTAGTAGTCAATAATGAGAACTGTCACGCTGTCACTTTTAGAAAACACAACCCGAAATTTCGCTCAATGAACGTTTAGACAAGTTCTCTAAAACGAATAATTGCCACCATTCGCAATTTCCAGAGAAATTACATACCTAAAATTATCACATTTTGAAAAAATTCGAACGAAATTACTCTTTGAAAAATCTCAATGACAGAACAAAATACGGCCTGTTTGACTTGTACTTCCACGTACTTGATTGACATGTTAAATTAATAAACAAAAATTCTGTCCAACCGTTAACTCTCTTATCAATATAATATGTTAATTTAGAGGATTTCAAGTGCTAGTAGTGAAAAAAATAGTATATATACCACGGTAGAGAAGTCTCTTATTGCCTTCGCACCTTACACCCCTCGGCGCAAGCGCCTCGAGATGTAATCTTGGTGCTCAGGCAATAATACTGGACTTCTCTACCTTGATATATAATGTACTATTAATTGCCCAACAGAACAAAAAATTATCCCAATTACAGGACAATGGTGTGTAATACGTCGTGTTGGTCGGTGGCTATTGTTGAGTAGTTGTGAGAGCGCCTTTCTTTTCCTTTTTTAGATTTTTAGATCTTTGCGATATAACTATAAATTGTGTAAAACGCGCCATTTTCTTTCAGTAAATTCATGGAGGCGATAGCCTGTAAGCTGGAGAGGATCTGCGAAAAGTTCGGAAACGGCGCCGCCGTAAAGGAAATCGAGAGACTCACCTGCAGTCAGCTTGTCACGTTCCTCGAGACCTGCGGCCAAAAATTCGCGAGATCCGTGATCGAACCGGGCACCGCCGTGGGCGCGTTGGCCGCGCAAAGTATCGGCGAACCCGGCACCCAGATGACGCTGAAAACTTTCCATTTTGCCGGCGTCGCCAGTATGAACATTACGCAGGGCGTTCCAAGGTGAGATTATATGCGGTGGATGGGTAGGTATACTGTAAGCTTTTTGCAGAATAAAGGAAATCATTAACGCGTCCAAAAGCATTAGTACTCCTATAATTAGAGCGTCTTTAGTCGACCCACACAATCCTGAATTCGCAAGGCGAGTAAAAGGAAGAGTGGAACGAACAAGGTTAGGCGAGGTATGGGAACCTTCCAGTGTAGATATTTGTTCCACTTTTGGTCTTTGTAGATCACATCGTACATCGATGATGTGTATATGAAAAGTGACTGTTTTCTGATGATAAAAATAGATTGTGAAAGGATTAATCTGCTGCAACTGGAAGTGAATACAGAAACAATTCGTTACAGGTACCTACACTTTTAGTACGATAACTTTTCTCTATTACCCCCATTGCAGTTTGTGCACGTCTCGATTAAAGTTGAAACCAAATGATGTGGAGGTAGTGTCCGATACTGTAATCCTCGTGCGAGCAAATCATTCGAAACATTCGCAGAGACTCAATTTTGCACTGCAAGAGTTGAAACAGGTCATCCCCGACGTTGTAATAAAGGGTCTACCAACTGTTAACAGAGCGGTAATAGCTAGAGAAGACAAACAGGGCGTTTCCCACTACAATCTCTGTGTGGAGGGTGACAATCTGCGAGAGGTAATGGCGACATACGGTGTAGACGGCCACAGGACCATTTCGAATAATATAATCGAAGTGTTCCACACTTTGGGAATAGAAGCGGCGAGGTAAAGTGTGCTTACTTCGGCGTTTGGTGATTTTCATTCTTTAGGCAAACCATTATGCACGAAATCAAAATGGTAATGGAAAATCACGGAATGAGCGTCGATTATCGGCACATAATGCTACTCGCCGCGCAGATGACGCATACGGGCGAGGTTTTGGGGATCACTCGTGACGGATTGGCGAAAATGAAGCAGTCGGTTTTCAACTTGGCCTCGGTAATCCACCTTTCCTAGCTAAATTGCCATCCAAAGTGAAAAAGACATATCTCTTTTAGTACATTTGCATGAATTAGTAGCTAGACCTAGGATTGCATGTGTTTTCGTGTCCTGACCAAAAGCTCTCGGAATTCCAATAATTTGTGAGGGAGATTCACGGAATATTTCTTTCCTGTATGTATACCTGTGTCTGCTGGGGAGTATTGCATAACCCCCAGACCCCTCGGACTTGACCTCCTGAATTGTTAAACTTTCAGCACTCTTGTGATCATTTTCAAAGAAGGCTCTGGAACATTCCCTGTTGCTGTGTTGTTTTCCAAAACATTTAAAAAAAGAGTAAAGATTCCATGGCCTCCTTGAAAAATAACCACAAGAATACTAATGTTCTAAAAATTTGAGGGGATGTGTAACACGAGGCCCAGCCACACACAGGTATATTCCAAGAAAGAAGAGATCTCGGAATTTCAACATAAATTCTTGTGGGAAATTCATGAAATATCTCTTTCCTGGTATCAAATACCATCCAGCCCCACACAGATAAATGAATTAAAGTTTGGGGGCTACAACGAAATACTTTAAACTATTTTAAAAAGGAAAAAGTGGATAAAAACAGCTTCAGATATTCATTCAAATTTTCTCATAAATGAAATGTCTTTTTTGCCTAGGACTTCAGTAAATACAGCAGCTAATAAAATGTTTCAGTTTGAGAAAACCGCCGATCACCTCTTCGATGCAGCGTATTACGGACAAACGGATAAAATAAATGGCGTTTCAGAAAACATCATAATGGGAATGCCCGCCGCTATCGGTACTGGTATATTTAAACTACTACACAAGCCGCTGTACTCCGACGAAAAACCCGCAGCACTGCCCCTACTATTCGAAACGGCATTAGAATCACAAGCTTAACACTTTAATTTAATAGTAAATAGCATTATTGTAATTTTAATACAAATAAATCATTCGAGCGCGTCTTTTCTCTGTTGCACCATCTCTCGCAGGTTATTCTCTGAATCTTTCAAACTCCTCTCGAGGTATGCTTTATTGTTTTCTAAAGTTTTAATCTTCTCCTCTGCCGTTGCCTGTTTCTTTTTGAGATTCTCCTTGATCTCGCTTAACGGCGACAGCATAAACATACGACCTATACTGTCGTAGGTATTTGTGCTGGAATTCAAATTCGAAATCTCTCTAAAACAGCAAACTGTTAAGATTGACAAAATTGGAATACACTCGAGACCTTTCCGTAAGTGCGGCGTGCTGTTTGTTCCGCTTTAAATTCTCGATTTGAATGTCGGACAGTTTTAATTGTTGGGCGGTTTCGATGGCCTTCTGTTGCAGCTCTGTAAAGGCCTAAGGTTAATGTAAGCGTTTTGTACGTTTTTATCTTGGTTTACGTACCTTTTTGAGCTCTAAATCGACTTTTGCCATTATGTTTTCTTTGAAGCAGAAATACCTTAAAAGGTTAGGGGACCTTGAAAAGAAAATTGGTACCAATTACAATAAAAAAGACCCTGTGATCAGGTATACCAACTATGTGCCTAATATATTTAAAATTAATGGCGGAACAACCCCCTTAACCATTTTTTTTACAATATCGTCTCCACTCCCCAAGGTGAATCGTCTCTTTCCACAATTTTCCAAGAAAAATGATCTCCACAGCACCCCCTACTCTTTGGTAACCCGGGGGTTCTGTGTGCTACACCCCCAGCACAAGTATAGATAGGTAGTATGTACATGATAGTACTTTGAGACTATTCGTTATAATGAATCTGGCCATCTCCTCCGCCACGAATATAATAAATATATGTTAAAAAAGTCATTTATTTATACAAAAACGTAACAACTTTAATAAAAGCACCTAACTACTAGAATGTGCAGTCCTACATTTTTCCGTAACTTGTTGCACTAGCGAGCTAAGATTATCAACATCAAGGGGTTCGTTAAACTGCTGTTTTTTAATTGCAGATAAAGATGAGGTCAGGCTTAGCCTCGCGTTACTAACAATTAAATCTGACGATTTAATCTCGTTATTTAAAGCACACTCCCCTAATTTATCACATAATCGTAACACTTCCTTGCATTGGCCAATATCCTTTTCCCATCCCGTTTGCGTGTATCCCCTGTGAGCACGTTGCAGCCTCTGAGCTACTGTAGTGACATCTGTTGCCAAATCGGCGTACAATTCCCAAAGAATCCCGTGTAAAGGACAAATGCTGGTCAGTCGGCCAAACAATTCCTGTGTCCTCCTCAACAGTAAATTAGGTTCTTTTGTACTGCAAGTGACGTGGGAGACTAGCGCTTGTAAAACTTCAGGATCTACGTGACTTCCTTTTAGGTCCAGAATTCGGTGATAGGCGTTGATAACGTCAGAAAATGCGTTAACATCGACACTAACAACCATTAAATTATCCCAAACCTTCCAGTTGTCAAAGTTGCACTTGATGGCGTCGTGTAAAGCTTGATGGGCGGCACGTTTGTGGCCCAATTTAATGTAAGTTTTCGCGAGATTATTCCACGCCTGGAAATTTCCCGGTTCTAACGTCGTGTAGCGTTTGTAAGCGGTAGCGGCGCACTGCCAATTTTCCATTTCCAAGGCGGCAAATCCATAGTGAAGCCACACTTCGACTTGCAAGGGATTAATTCTTAGAGATTCCTCAAAGTGCGGAATCGCAGCCATGTATTGCTTGCGGTAGTAGAGATACTCGCCCCAGTGACGCTGAGCTCTACTACTACGGTGCCGGGACATCTCCCAGGCAGTTTGGTAGCAATCAACATCGTCGGTTGAATCGCCTAGTAAACACCAAAGCTTTACGGTGGGGTTCACTTCCAATTGTTCCTTGATGATCTCGGTAGCTTTGTGTCGCAATTTTAACAGAGTATAGCACACGATTACTTCCTCCCACAGTTTTAGTCGAAGGTAAATGTCTAAGCTCGCTTTAATCAGTCCAGTGTTCAGCATAAGCTCGGCCAGCTGTTCCTCAATTTTCCAAATTGGAAGAAAATGAGTGCAAAACACTCCGGTTAAACGGTTGTAAAACTGCGGCTCCTCCCGGCCCACACATTGCATAACCTCCTCGCACTGCAGCAGGCAACGCTCTATTGTGCGTTTATGCGACGATTCGAGTTTACAACGTATCAACAGTACAACAGCACGTACCGCCCACGTGTTTCTTTGGTGCAACAAGTAATCGAGATATGGCTTGATTTCCTCGTAGTATAAATTATCCCGAGGCTGCGAGATGATCAGTTGTCTCACAGATAGAACTAAAAACTTCTGTTCCAAATCCGTTAGCATGGGTAAATTAGGTGCCGCCTTAAATTGTACGGTATCCAATCGAACATCGTCTTCTAACGCTAAATTTTTGGCAACCGTAAATTCGCGAACATCACATCGGGTCGTATTCTCGCCGATACTAACAATCAGCTGTAATTGAGCAACGTCGTTCTGTTGGTACTTTGTTCGTCTTCCCAAAGCCCCCACCAGGTCGTGCTTAACACCCAACAATTCCCTGGCATTTTTAAGATGCAGCTCCGATTTTGGAATGTCCCTGTAAATTTGATAGAGCTGCACCTGCTCCAGCTCCAATAAAGCTTGGAAATGCGACTCTAAGTTTAGGTCTAGCAATTTTTTGTGTAATTCCTCTACTTCGGCCAGCAACTTAGGGCTCAAATCGTCCAGAATCTGTTGGTGAATCATTAAAGCTCGCCATTGCCACCAACAATTGAGGCTAGTATACTCGCAGTGTTTAAAAATAGCCGATGCGGCACAGAGTAAAACGGCATGCTTTGTGTTGACATTAATGTCTTCGTTATCTACTGAGAGACGGCTCTTGTAATCGAAATCTGCACATGTCTTATTGAGAAATTCGTCGAGCTGTTGTACAATTGTGGGGCCGGTAAAGTTAATTTGAATAAAGTTCAGTATGCACTCGATACCAAACTTAAAATACAACTCGCGCTCCTCTTCGGGTAGCCCTTTAAAGAAACCCTCCAGAGTTTCGTGTTGAAAGTTGTGCTGGAGGTTTTTCCATAGCGATTCTGTGAAGATTAATTCTTGATTTAATTTTTCGTTCTTCGAAAATGGACTATCATTGTCAAAATCAAATAGAAACTCCTTTAGTTGCTGCGTTTTCATTTCCATTTCTATTCGGGAACTAAAAAAATTTCAAATCAAAACATGAGGCTTTCATAACCTAACTTACGCTCGTGCCTAAACTAACAGTGTCGCCAACTTTAAAAATATCATTTTGTTACGGTTGGTTACGATTTCACCCCTAGTAAATTATCTGTTTTTATTTATATTGATTAATAAACGGTTTATTTACAATTTATTTATCAGTTGTTGCAAATAGTTAAATTTGAATAACAAGCCGCTTCACCATGAATGATGGAAATCCTCCGGTAACTTTTAGGTTATGACTTGCTCCATTGTAAAGCTTCCTTTTGTAGATGAATATAATGCAGCCACCCCCGATACTACTAAATCCAACAGGAGTATTGGAGCCACCCGAGCTATCTGGGATTCCTCCAGAAGCTTTACTTCAACCTCCAGTGTACGGAGGAGCACCCGGTACCCAAGGATGGGCTACTAGCGAGGATTTTGGTAACTCATTTGTATCTCCCCATTCGTCGACTTGTCATTGTACTTTTTTAGAAGGTCAGAACTTGGCACTACAAGGAATGGCGTTAATGCCAGGCGAGCAACCCTTACCTTCACTACTGTCCCTTAAGGTCGACCCACCGGATCAACTGATCGAAGGTAACGGTACCACTGAGGTTGTGCTGCCACAAGTAATCGAGCAAGTATTGGCACTTAAAAATAGGAGGGCTTTAGAGTTGGGCACCGAGGAAAACGCGGCGGTTTCAGGTGAAGTCGTTGCATCTACACCAGTATGGGAACGGGATGAAAATGTACGTTGTTGCTATTCACAGCGCTCTTTTATTACATAGCTGTAATTGTAGGAAGCACCAGAGTCGGAAAATATACCAAAGGCTTCAAAGGATGTGGCGAAAACCACCAAAAACAAAAAAAAGAAGAAAAGAAAGAAGAATAAAAAGCTTCAGAATGGTGAGGTTGCCAGTTCGGGAACTACAAAAGACATCCCCGACCTCGATGTTGAGTAAGTACCATTAAAGTAATCCGGGACTCATCTACGCTTTTCTAGGTATATACAAGAAAGTTTGGGTTTACACGAGCTAGCCCCGCAATATCGACAGTTTTTCCACATCTTCGAGGCATTTAAAATCGCGGACACAAAGCCTTTAATTCCACCTCCTCAACTGGCCACTCCTACGACTTTGTCAAACAAAACCTTGCCACTGCTCGGCGATCAGTTTCAAGAAGAAATGGAGGAGGCGGACGAGGTTTGTTTATCTGCCTTTCAATGTTAAATCTAACCTCTGCTTTCAGAAAATCAAAGAGGACAAGTCTAAGATGTCCAAGAGGAAGCTAAAGAAATTAACACGACTGAGCGTCGCCGAGCTGAAGCAGTTGGTGAATCGGCCAGACGTTGTCGAAATGCACGATGTTACGGCGAGAGATCCCAAGCTTTTGGTCCAACTTAAAGCGCACAGAAACACAGTTCAGGTGAGTCTCAATTCGTGACATCCGAGCGGATTATATCGCTGTAATTAGGTGCCCCGGCATTGGTGTTTCAAGCGCAAGTACCTACAGGGAAAACGGGGCATAGAAAAACCTCCGTTCAATTTGCCGGATTTTATAAAAAGGACGGGCATTATGGAAATGCGCGCCTCGTTGCAGGATAAGGATGAGACGAAAACTCTCAAGGCGAAAATGAGGGAGAGAGCTCGGCCGAAACTTGGCAAGATTGACATTGATTATCAAAAGTTACACGATGCGTTTTTCAAGTAAGTCACAGGTCATGTGATAAATGTTTACTTTGGGCACAGATGTCATACGTGTATTGTGTGTTGCCTACCCCTTGTTTGAATTTTCGCTGCAACATAGCGGCTGGGCTTCTGCACTGTCTATAAAGTTTCCATAATGCTCCATGTCGGCCATGTTTTTTCCAATTTGTCATTGATTTACAATGGTTACAATAATGCTGTCGACTATAATTATAGTTCAGTGATGTTGAGCAAGATAAATTCATTTTGGTTTACAGGTTAATTTTTACCAATCGTATATGCCCAAAACATAGCGGATCTCCCCTCTACCAATAGAAAATAACATCCACTGTCTGTATAGAGTTACTGTAATTTAGGTATACAGTGATTTTATAGACAACAGTGGCGTTAATAGTGTCTAATTTTTGATTGGTTGTTGAGATCGGCGGCCATGTTGCATCGCAGCGGCATCTAATGCATAAATACATAGGCTTTATTTTAAACTTTTAAAGGATGCATATACCAGTTACAAACTATCTGTTCAGTTCCCGGCATTAAAACACCCTTAAGGTACATATTTTTAGAATGTTGGAAACCTTCCGTAATATTAAACAGTTTGTACCTTGATTTCCATTCTCTTATGTTAGATGGCAAACAAAACCGAAGATGACGATCCACGGGGACCTTTACTACGAGGGCAAGGAGTTCGAAACGCGTCTAAAAGAGAAGAAACCGGGGGACCTCTCTGAAGAGTTACGTACCGCATTGGGAATGCCCGTCGGACCAAATGCGCACAAGGTGCCACCGCCTTGGCTGATTGCCATGCAACGTTACGGGCCGCCTCCCAGTTACCCAAATTTGAAAATCCCCGGCTTAAACGCGCCAATTCCGGACGGATGTTCGTTCGGTTACCACGCCGGCGGCTGGGGTAAACCGCCGGTCGACGAAACCGGTAAACCGCTTTACGGCGACGTATTCGGTACACATCAAGCCAACATAGATGTGAGTTTTAACGGTTTTGTTACTGATTATATAGTGTGATTGTTTAGGATGTCGGGGAAGATATAAATATCGATCGGTCCTTGTGGGGAGAACTTGAATCGGAATCGGAGGAAGAGAGCGAAGAAGAAGAGGAGGATGACGATAAGGATAAACCTGGTCTCACAGATGAGACAGGTTTAATCACCCCGGCCGAAGGCCTGGTCACTCCGAGTGGACTGACGAGCATTCCTGCCGGAATGGAAACACCTGAAGCTATTGAACTAAGGAAGAAGAAGATTGAAAGCGAGATGGAAGGGTAAATATCTAACATCAAAGAGTATAATTATGCAATTTATCTATTATCGTGGTCCAGTACAGTGGTGTTTCAGACACAATGCCATGTTGCCAAAGTATATGAAAATTATTGTTATTGGAATGAAAATATATATTGACAACACAGCATAGTACTCGAAATCCATTGTAGAAATTTGCCCCCAAATAGAAAAAAAATTTCTTTGCTAACACTAACATTAAATTCAGAGGGGAAACTCCCGTGTTGTACCACATCCTCCCCGAAAAACGCAACGAACGTCTCGGTGCGGCCATGATGGCGAGCGCTCACGTATATGACATGACTGGTCTGGGAGCGCCACCTCCCATGACTTCCAAACGTGGAATTTCCTCTGGCGACCAGCGAGAGGGAATGGTCGAATTGGCGTTAGATCCGTCAGAACTTGATATGGACAGTGACGCTATGGCGGTACGATACGAGCAGCAGATGCGGGAGAATCAATCACAGTTGCAAAAGGAAGATCTCAGTGATATGTTAGCTGAGCACGTCGCCAAGCAGAAAGTACGTTCACATTTTCATCGTATACTTGTGATTAATTTTAAATTTTCAGAATAAAAGAAAGCGACAGCAAAATTTGGATACAAAACAGACGAAAAAGTATAAAGAGTTTAAGTTTTAATTATAATGTAAGTGTTTTCAATTATATCATAGCGTAATGCAATTTCTGTAATTAATTGGTGAAGATTTGTAATAAACAGGTCTGTCAGTGACATTTTCGTGTGACAAAATTCCAATGGTATTAAAAATGGGACGCGGAGCACGAAATAAAATTAAGTTCAGAACAGAATACACGAGAGAATACACATTATTACAGCCACTTTTTTCCCCTTTACAAGATGCTAGTTTTAAATTTTAATTCTGACGTTTCGTCTCCGGTTAATCATCATCAACTTTGTTTTTTCTTATGGAAGTCATTTTGACTTTTCGTGTCATTTGATAGAACAATTTTTTCTGATATTTTTTCTTAAATATTGTTAAAGTATCTTCTTTTTTGCCTGGCAAACTTTACAAATTAATAGCGCCATTTCTTTCACATCGCAGATTATTGAAAAAGATACGGGTTTTATTTTTCCAATTTTCCGTCATATGAAAAAAATTGAAAACGAATACGGTTGATTCTACAAAAAACTTTAATACATTTTTGCTCTAAAATAATTTGGGGAACCAATAATCGCATGTTATAAATGTTACATTGAAATCCCTATGATGCGTTACGCAAGTCACCACCCTGTATAACAAAAGAAACATAAAAAAACCTGAACTTTGGGGACAGGGACTACATTCAGTGTACAAAACGCTGTTCTTCCATGTATGAACAATGAATAACGTTAAATTTTGTGAATGTGAAAGGTTTTTAAATAACTGTGAGCATAAATATACAGGGTGGTGCCTAGCGCAACGCAGCATAGGGATTTCAATGGTAATTTCTTTATAGTCAATTACTAGCTCCCCTAATTATTATAGAGCAAAAGTCTAAATACGTTTTTTTTAGAGAAAAAAATACTGCATCTGTTCATACTTTTAGTTATAATTTTCCATTTTTCAAAACCGTAGAAATCGAGAAAATAAAAAATTACATTTTTATAAATCAGTGATGCTTTGGAATCTTTTAACAAACTACAAGCGCATCGTATCTAAGTTATCGTTGTTTGACGTTGAACGATTTTCATATTTAATTCTGTTACAACTATCCGATGCAAGAAAAGGCATCAGGGTAATGTTTTTTTAGAGAATGTATGCTGCATCTGTATCAGATACTATTTGTTTATCATTTTCCGGAATCAGAGTACCTACATAATCGAATAAAAAAAACGGATTTGAAGAAGATTCGTTCCTAAACTTATATTCGGATTTTCCGCTACTGCAGCCAAAACGTTGAATGTATTGTCGTTTTCCTGATGGTTTTGACGGACATTTTGAACGTTATTGCACTTGCAGTTCTTTAACTAATTTATAAACAAATATAAATTTAATATCCGTCAAAGGCAAATAATGAAACGTGATCGCTGTTTTTTTTTAGGTAATTCCAAGGCATATTTGATTTATTGTAAAATGAACCTTTTTATTTTGTCGATTTCTACGGTTTTGAAAAACGGAAAATTATGAGTAATAGTATGAACAGATGCAGTATTTTTTTCTCTAAAAAAAAAACGTATTTAAACTTTTGCTCTAAAATAATTAGGGAAGCTAGTAATTGACTGTAAAGAAATTACCATTGAAATCCCTATGCTGCGTCGCACTAGGCACCACCCGGTGTAAAATCATAGATCATTGTAACGTCAAAATTTTTTATCAAAGCAGTATGGTAGTCATTCCTAAAACCAGAGCCTACTACATATAACTATGAGCTGTAGTCTGCGATTGCTCACGTCACAAAAGCAGACTGATACTTTCTGTAGTTATATGCAGGCGGGTATTTTACAAGTATTTTGTTATTTATTTTTTAAATTTATTCAATTTTCTCATTTTATTTGTACTTACCTTTGACCATGACCATAGTTCCAGAGATCATGTTACGTTCACCTTTTATGGCTACTCAGTTTTGTAATGTTTGTTGCATGGATCAATTTTAACCATCTCCAATCCATTTTTACCACCCGCAAATAACAGGATACTTGCAAAGTACGTTAATAATAATATTGCCTTTATTTAAACATAAAAGTCCAGAAAGTTTACAAAAAGTGCAAGGGAAAGTTCAGATTAAAACAGCGCCATCTGTTCTACCACTAACTTGATAGGTATATTCACTATTCAGAACAAGGAACAAATCATAAGCTTAGACATTATAAGTGCATGACAATGAAGGGCAAACAAAAATATTTTCAGTTATCTGGTATGTACACCACGTCACCCACGCAAATTCTTCCCGGATGCTCCACGCTCATATAAACCCCTAAATTTGGATAGCTCAACCCCGAATTGTACTTGGTCAATTTTCTATACCTGAAGCAAAGATCTCGTTAAAGATAACACGGTGACCGACGGCGCTTACTTTTTCATTGTGGTAATAGGTTCGAAGCCCTCATTGTGCAATCCGCTTTCAGGGTCGATTGTAGTTATCGAGCATCGAGGGCATGGCATGACACTTTTAAGAACGACATCTCCAACTTTAATTCGATCCCAGTTATCCTCCGAGTATGGTTCTATATTTGCACCTCCGATCACGATATTTGGCCGAAAATTATGCTTTGATACGTTAGTAACTCTACTAATCACGTCATTCACGGATGAGTCGGTCAATAATAAAATCGTAGACAAATCGCTATACTTGCCCTGGAAAAGAAAAGTAGGTTTATTTTGTATGGTAGTGTAAGACATACAGAAGTAGCACGTTTTAATTTGGGATACATTTCTATGTATCTACTGTGGAATTTGCGTATATCTCTCTTACGGGATCCATCGTGGTAACCCAACCGTAAACCGTAACAATACCCTAAGAGAGTTTTCGAAATCCATTCTGCCGCTTCATCCCCACAGTCTATGGTGAACACTTTTTCACCATTCCACATCCTGGAAGTACATCAAGTGAGGCAAGTAACAATGTGAGGGGACGCACACAACGTAATCTTCGCGACTATTCCCTAATTTCGGAATTGTAATTCCAAGCGGAACAGTACCGGGGCTGATTAAAGTAAAACCACCCTTATTGGTCTTTGTTTCGATCAGCAGCAACCTGGGGAAGTTTCTCGCTGTCTGAAACGCTTTCGTCTCTTCATTGTACACTACAAGACACCTGCGTAAATACCAAGGTCAACTATTACTCCCTTACAACGCTTCACTACCTGTCCTTCAGCATCCCGGCTTCCAATCCGAACTGTGTACAAACTGCACTTTTAATTGAAACCCGCCGTCCACTTTTCAACGGGTAGATTAACAGATCACCTACAGTTCCAATCGGTTTCCAACAAATCTTACGTGATCTTCTGTAAAAGTAGCATACCACGCCAACTGCACTACCAATCAAAGTAATTGCAGAAACAATCGATTTATTAATCATATTACAATAGACCTTACGAATCAAGGCCAAAACCTTTCAGTAAACCGATCGCTTCGGTATGAGAAAGCGGACGTAGACCAATTCCTTCGATTTTGGGCTCGTGTTCGATATCCCTCTTCTTAGATAACTTGTCCTTCAATTCTTTGGAGGTGACCTCGTACTGTTCTTTCACGTTTTCGATTTCTGCAACATGCGCTCATTACGTAATATAAACGGACGCAAACTACCTTTTCGGACTAACTGCTCGCAGTGGCCGGTAGGATATTCTATGAAAATTGAGCCCACTTTTATGAATGATTTTTTCTCTTGCGAAGCTTGAAAGGCTCGCAGGGATTCTTGCAACTTGGATAACGTGTGGGCTAGTTCTAGCTTTGTGTCTTTCAATGTGAGAATGTCTTGGGCGACCGTTTCTACTTCTAATAGGTAGGTTAATGTTTTGGTAACATCCGGAGGTGGAGAAGTCATTACCGAATGGCTTTTGATGCCGAACTTAAAATACTCACTGCGGGTAGCAATGATCAAGGGAGTCCTCTCTAATTTTTTATTTCTGGCAGAGAATACTGAAAAAAGGGTTTTCCTGAAGACTATTTAATAAAAATTCAAAAAATTATTTTGAGGTTAAGCTTAAGAAGGTGACTGCTGGGTTGCGTTCCACCGAAACCGCTTTAACGTAAAATCATTGATTATACACACTGTGTATAGCTAGGTTTTTAGAATACATTTTTTCTTATGAACCGCGGGGGCGTACGTAGAAATTTATTCTGGGGGGGGGGGGTTAAACAAGTTCGTGGCACATACAGTCACCCAGTGCGTACTAGTAGGGGAAGGGGGGGGGGTAAGAAATAGACATTGGGTTGCAGCCTGCAGGTTGCTGATGCTGGTAGTCATTTATCTATTTATTATTGTACAGGCGAAAAAGATTAGATTCAAACGGTATTCTAACTGCTGACAGGCCCCTTTATTGCTTTTGCTTTAATTAGCCAACGAAAACTTTGAATAATAGGTATATTTATGGGTAAAAAACCAATTTCGACAAAAAATTCAAAGGGCTGTAACTTTTGATCTAGTAGTCCGATCTTGGAACTGTTTGGAATTACGGATTCTACAGGCCACATTCTATAAGAAAAATTTTTTTCCGGGTCGATCTGAGACAATTTTTTTTCGGGGCAAAAAAAGGCAGTGTATAACCTTCCTTTTTTTACCAAAAATCAACTGCACCAAAATTTCTCGGGAAAAAACTTTTTCTTATTAATTTGGGTGCGTAGAATCCAAAACGATTCGTACTTTTTCGATTAGATGTCTCAATCAAAAGTTATGGGCAAAAAAAATTCCTGTTTTTAAAATTTAAAATTCTTATTTTCGTCATTTCGTGAAAGGCAGGACGCAGGTACCTCACCTCAGTAGCAGTACTAAGTACCTAGATACCTATTTGTTATTCTGGGCATCAATGTAGCGAATTGCCGATCGATGCCGAATAGCCAAATCGTTGACTGCCAACACTGATCACTCACTGAATAGTGAATACTGAATACTACAGAATATTTAGATTTTAGTGACTTTAGACTTTAACCAAAACCAAAATTGCTCTCTATATATACCTATATATATATGCCTTTATTTTAAAGTGGGCGGAGCGGATAGCGGAGTATTACCTAAATACCTAATAGCTATGATGATAACTCAATTCTTCTGGGGGGGGGGGATATATCCCCTTCCTCCCCCCCCCCCCCCCCGTAAATACGCCACAGTGAATCTCTAAATATCTTTCTGAGAACATCTCTAACAAGCATACCAAACACTCTAAAAATTAGTCAAAAGGAGTCACAAAAAAACCGATAAGAATTTGGGAATCTACATTATCTATGAGAAAATCCTAAGAACCTAGTGATTGCAAAGGATTTTTTTAATAAGACCTAAATAATATAGCATTTGATTTAGAATTTCTTTTTAATTCTTCAAATTTATACTTGAAAAGCAATTCAGTGCTTGAGGAATTACCGACAAAATTTTGAAGAAGTCATTAGGGAAAGTAAAACAAATACCTTTCATGATTGGTAATTGACATATAATTATAAACTGCAATTAACCTTCCAAAGTTTGCGATAATTATAATTAACGTGCACTTTTACACAAGCTTTGATTACACACTAATGACACAAGTAATGAAAGTGGCAATTAATTCGAATCACACCGTATACGTAGAGAAAGTGACGTGAACTTTGCCACAGCGGTGACGTCTTATGAGAAATAAAAACATTTGTCCAACACCGCATTTCTTCAATTTCCAAGCAGACGTGTCAACTTCTTGCACGCAAATTTGCTTTAATTTTTATAAAGACGTTTTTTAATTATTTCAAATAATGGCACCCAAACAACGAATGCGCATTGCAAACGAGAAGGCGAGCAAAAACGTCGTAAACCGTGGAAACGTACCAAAATCATCTGTAAGTAAATACCATATTGTTAACCCATTTCGACTAGTTCTCATTTCAGAGGCCACAAGAAGACAGTTACCCAGTCGGTCCATGGCTGCTCGCCCTTTTCATTTTCGTCGTCTGCGGATCGGCCGTATTTCAAATAATCCAATCGATCCGTATGTCGTAAAAGCTGTTACCTTCCAAGGAGTTAGCGATTGTTGTTTTACTTTAATTGAATTACCTCTCTCTTAAGTCAATTTTTGACGCTAACTCCCCACAACATTCGTTGTTATTATTATACTCGTAAAGATAATGTAGTTTTACATTTTTTTAAAACGCGAATTTAAGTGAAAACGTCTCACAGATTGCATTTACATCATCTTTCAAATGATACACATTCCAGTCATTGTAATAATTTTGTGTAACATTTGTACAAATTAATAATATATTATTTGTTTGCACATTTCCTCTTTATTTTAGATAACATATTAGTTGCGCGTAATAGATAAGATAACTAATACTGAATGTAAAACACTTCAGGCTTGTTTGTAAATTTGGCACGCTTCCTTCTGATATACAACGATAAACGAGCCACACTTTGTCTTAATATACTTGTTCGTTTAAAAGAAACTTGTTTGAGAATAGCTGCACTTTGCATGTCATTTAATATTCCAATACATGCCTCGGGAATCATTTCAACTGGTGAAAATGGGTTGTTGTTAAACCACTTTATCATCAGGTCCAAAACGGTCACCTTCTCACGCGTGCTCATCTACAACATACACGTTACTTATAGTAAATTCATCAAAAAAGAAACCTCGCAAGTCATTTTCCTAATTTCGCATTCTTGTCTTGTTAACAATATCGGGCGGGCTTTTCTTTGACTTAACCAGGAGTATTGCCCGCATCTCTTTTCTTGTCGAAATTTCATTAACTCTTCCAGCTGTAAGTGAACTTATTGTAAATGGCTAGAAGGGGAAATTCTTTACTTGCTTGCTGCAGGAACTGCGAGCTGTTCATTTTGAATGCCCGAATGGTATAAATTCTCGCTTAGAATATTTAAGTGGTGCGCAAACAAGTGATAGCGAGCTCATAAATAATCGTATCCCAATAACAAGCATTTTTGTTTTACGCTGATGAGTTTTGTGCATTATTTGATTAAGATAAATCAGGATTCATTTTAGTTTATTGTTTGATTATGATATTTTCAACATGTGCATGCATGATTTTTGCTAAGATTAGCCAGAAGTACTTTTGGTCTGTAGGTAGGTATTTGAGATACACATTTTTAAGGCAGAAACTGGCATTTTTTACGGTAAATAAAGTCAATTTTTGGGAAATAGAAAGAGATGCTTTTTAAAACTTATTCTTTTTCTAGGTGCTTTCAAGAGCTATAGACATCCAATACTATAAAGGGCACATAATGGTCTGGACACCATTTGTGAAGTTATGGATCGGAAACATTGTTATTTATTATTGAGCCATATTATACACCTAATCATCCCAGAATTTTTCTTTTTCTCTGGCTGGTTTCTAGAGTATCTTACAGGGCCTAAACAGTTTCTGAAACCACTTAAAGGATTCTGATGGAAAACGTTATCAAGTTTTATTTTACCATAGTCCTTTTGGAACTCTGTCAAAGATATAGAAAGCTCATACAAGCCCGGTACTTCTTAAACTAAACTTATAGTGGGATACAATCGTTATGTAGGTACTTTAACTTAAGGAATGTTTATGTAGGAATTGTTTAATTTATAAGAAATCTACATTTATCATCCTTTTTCTATTTTGCATTTCAAATAACTGCACAAAAAATTTATTATTTATTATATATTTTAAATACCTTTTCTCATTTGATCTCTATTTTAAATTTAATTTTTAAACGTATTTCACCCACCTCTGGATGTGATACATATCTACTGTAAGATACGATTATAGGCTATCTATGATAAAAAAAAATGTCATAATCTTGTATAATTGCGTTTTTTTAAAATTTGATAATCATAGCAAGGTTATCCAAGATCACAGTTATGCAAAGCTTATTTAATATGAAAGCCAATTATTTCCTCAGGATTAATAATTATGTCCTTTGTGGTAACGCTATATTGCGTATACTTAGGTATATATGCCTTGTACTATTTTGAGTTCAAGGTGTTTTGCTTAGGTGATTGGAAAATGATCTAGGGAGCTTCTAGGAAATACTCTAAACGTTCATGGAAGCTCGTCAAGTTATTCTGGGCGCTTTATCGTGCCTTCAATCGCTCTACCAGCGTTATTGACGCCTGTACCAAAATGTTCCAGAGCCTTTTTTTGCAAATAACATAAAAAGCTCTTAAAAAGGCAACGGCTTTCACAAAAAAAAACCTTTTAAAGAGTGGTATGATAATTGGTAAAAAATTGAAATTGATCATAGAGGCACCTCTAAAAAGCATTATGCGGGTCACTCTGTAATTGGGCGCAAGCCTGTTGAGGGCCCAGAACAAGAGAGGGATAATAAATAAATATATGGTAGTTACGCCACTGGCATCGAGGCCACTTGTCGTTCGTTTGGCAACAGTATAGCAATTGGCAACACTGCAATCTAAAAGTCTAACCTCAATTTTGTTAAATGTACACAAAAATGAGTTCGTCAGCTTGCAGCGAAATTATAGACGACATTGAAGATTTAATATCTTCGCAAGACATAACGCCAAAAGAAAGGTATAGCAGCCGAAAATCAGTTAAAGTGAAAGCTAAAAAGAAACAGGTAAAGTTTGTGCATGGCCGAATCTTTCCTACAACTTCCTCTTCCAGGATGATGTGGTGCTTGACCCTGTGATCGGCGATGTTCCAGGCACGCAAACCATCTACGTCAAAACATGGGGTTGCGCTCACAACAGCTCAGATTCCGAGTACATGGCCGGCCAACTGGCCGCCTACGGTTACAAGCTTACGCAAGATAAAAGCAAAGCCGATCTTTGGTTGTTGAATAGCTGTACTGTGAAGAATCCGGCCGAAGATCACTTTAGGTAAGCACACTTCCAAGGTGTATTTCCTGACGATTACTTGCAGAAATGAAATTGGTTCGGCTCGTAAGGAAGGAAAACACATTGTTTTAGCCGGATGCGTTCCACAAGGTGCGCCAAAGGCTTCCTACATGAACGGTTTGAGCATGATAGGCGTGCAACAAATAGACCGTGTTGTTGAGGTCGTCGAAGAAACACTCAAAGGCAATACAGTAAAGCTGATGGGCATGAAGAAGGAAAATGGAAAAAAGATAGGGGGAGCCTCGCTTCTCCTGCCGAAAATCCGCAGAAATCCCCTAATCGAAATCATTGCAATTAATACGGGTTGCTTAAATCAGTGCACTTATTGCAAAACTAAACACGCCAGAGGAGACCTGGGAAGCTATCCGCCCGAGGAGATTGTTGCGAGAGCTAGGCAGGCGTTCGAAGAGGGTGTCGTCGAAATTTGGCTTACGTCCGAAGATACGGGCACCTACGGTAGAGATATCGGAACGTCGTTACCGGAGTTGTTGTGGCAGTTAGTCGAAATTATACCGGAAGGTTGCCGTTTACGGCTCGGCATGACTAATCCGCCCTATATACTCGAACATTTAGGGGAGATGGCGAAAATTCTCGCGCATCCACGCGTTTACAGTTTCTTGCACGTTCCTGTGCAGTCTGGTAGCGATCAGGTGCTTGCGGACATGAAACGCGAGTACTGCCGAGCTGACTTTGAACATGTTGTAACGTTTTTAAAGGAGAGGTAAGCACATTTGACGGTGAGTTAAGTGGGAAACTGTTTAAGATTTGAGTATTATTTGAATTCGGCAAGTTTCGTAACTTTTGACAATTCACAGCACCCATGATTTTAAAAACTCAGATTGCAATTATTTTTTTATATTTTAAAATTTGCTACTATACAGGGTGATCATTTTTCACCATGGAGTCTCTGTTATTTTAAGAGCTATGACTCAAGCCACAAAATTGGGGCAAATATATGTTATAATGAAAACCGCCTATTTCTACTAGTTTGTATTCCAAAAATGGAAAAATTGAGTTTTATCATTGAATAAAAACACTATAAGAAGCCTAACCCCGTGGAAATAAAGCGCGACAGAGATTGAACTGAGAATATAATGGGAACACTGTCAATAGTGTCGATTCTTGAACTGAGAAGAATGAGAATTTGCTTTCCTCCTATTTACCGCAAAGAGAGTTCGGTGGTCACAACCAATGCGGGTGCAAGGGGATTTGTCGCGCTTTCTTCCATAAGCGTTAGGCTTCTTATAGTGTTTTTATTCAATGGTTTTATTTAACTCTCCCCCCTATTTAACCAACATTGTAGCTCTTAAGGTAACCGAAATCTCAGATCAGTTCAGAGATCTGTTGATCATAATTTCTTACTTCCTAGGATACCTGGTATGACGATAGCCACAGATATAATATGCGGATTTCCAACAGAAACAGAGCAGGATTTCGAAGACACCCTGTCCCTCTGTGCGCAGCACAAATTCCCCAGCTTGTTCATAAACCAATTTTATCCACGGTCCGGAACCCCAGCAGCTTTAATGCCGCGTATTCCCGCTCAAGATGTGAAAGTAAGAACGAAAAAATTGACCGATCTATTTTACACTTACGAGCCGTACCAACACAAAGAAAATGAAGTGCACGAGGTGTTGGTAACCGAGGTGTCGCACGATAAGCAACATTACGTCGGGCACAATAAGTATTACGAGCAAGTTTTGGTACCGTTAAATGAGAAATACATGGGGAAGCTGGTGAAAGTGAAAATTGTGAAGGCGACCAAGTTTTCTATGATTGGTGAACCTTTAGATCAGATTGTGATGCCGGGTTTGAGTAAGCCGCTACAAAGTGGAGAAATATCGGGCATACAACGTCCTGTATGCATTGACAACACAAAACTATATGCAAGTATTTGCATACTGTTAGTGTCATTATTGTTGCGAATTTTGTGGATGCTGTTTTAGTAGCGTTTGTATTTGTAAATATAAATGCCTCTGTGTGTTTTTCTTGGTATTTGTTTATATGCCGCCTGCAAGATGAGAAAATACAAAATGCATTGAGGGAAAATATTGAAAATGTAAAATGATTTTTGTATATATATTTAAAATGCAATACGAAAAATAGGTACTTTAAATAAAGTCTCGAATACAAAGGGTTGTTTTTCAAATGACTACAGATCACATGACCGTTTCATGGCTTAATAAGCTCTGAGCAGGCACGCCTTGAAAGCTTGAGAGACCATTCAATTGTAAAAGGCCATTGAACACTGGCTAGTCGAGCCTAGTCCAGAAAACCAAGGGAAGGACTTGAATCGCGCTCCACCAGGACAAAACTTTAAAACGATTTTCAATTGCCTTTCAGGTTTTTTACAGCTTTCAGTGAACCCAAGCATTGATTATACACACAACATAATCAATGACCCAAGTATTGTTTGCAGTTTCCTAGCTGATGCTTTTTGAGAATTTCATAAACTTTACAATGCTGTGAAAATTCCTATTATTGAGAGCGTTTGTCCAAGTCTTTCACCAGCTTACCGTAAATTTATAAGGGATTTTGGCAAATTGTTATAAAATAAATCAATTTACGCCACTGAAATGATTCGACTACTTCATACTTCAGTAGGTACGCCACTGCCGTAGAGTTAGGGACTTTGTTGATGTTGGTGACGCTAGCTTGGAGCTATAAATACAATTGCATCGTTAAAATGGCCGTCTTTTCCTTTAGAAATCACGGAGTTAGTAGGTGGTGTGCGCGTGTATTTAGTTATTTACTTTTTACTGTAACGGCAAACAATGGTTTATTGCAAAACGAAATTGTTTATAGAGGAAAAAAAGAAATATGTTACAAGAGGTAAGCCACATTGAACTTGGTACATGCTTTGCGTGTGATGCTACCCGAAAATGGTGCACGTGAAAAAATTGTAATTATCCTAAATTATTTCACAAATCCTTTCACTTTCGGTTCATTTGATAATTGCAATAGTAGGATGATACATTTGTCTCGTTCGTATGATAAGATTAAAATGATTTTAGTCAAATGACTGATTGATAACACGCACTTTAGCACATCGCCCCCTTTTGCTATTTTTAACGGTAATTGTTATTACAGGATCACCCGGCTACAATGCAGTTATTCCATGAACTTCGGTAAGTTTCCTAGTCGTTTACGAACACTCGCCTAAAATGATGAAATTTCTTCCTAATCACGATGGTCTTCTGATACCGATATGTAGATTGAATGCATTCTGACCATGTTTTCACTCTTACTATTTACAAAGTTAACGTGCCCGTACTAAATTGTACATTTTTAGGATGTCGTCTTGTGCAAATCGTGTAATTCCAACAGCGAGCTGTTGTTACCGAGGTAAGTTAGGTTATGTTCATCCAGCGGTTTGTTTGTTGAGGTCGGTTTAAGGCAGTTTTGTCACCACTTTTCAAAACGTATACTTGAAGTAACTCTCCAGCTTGTTAAAACCAGCAAACAAATCTCATATATCCCCGGTTTAATTATGATGATAATAATTACCGTTTGAAACTTATGAAATTAACCCATGGCTGTAATTTTTACTGATTAGTTTATCTCAAACTTAGTCCCCAAATTCTTTTCATTCATTAGTTGATTAATGTTGTAATCTTTACAGGTTGAGCATGTGAACGACACGGAAAACTCTCAAGGTAAGCTATAAATTAGTTAAAGCTACATAAATGTATTGAATCTTGTGTTAAACGTGATGATTTTAATTTGACAAGCATATGTCAGACGATTTCTGTTGATAATTTCTCCTGATCGATCATCATTGACTTAATCTTCTTTGTTTCGTTGATATGCTTTTCTTCAACTTTGTTTTCTGTTTCAGGACGAGTGTGAAACTGTGGTGAGTGCTCCTTCCTCTGTAATAAAATATCTACACATGATGATTTTATAGTTATCCCTGTCATACACACAGCTGGTGATAAATTTTTGTCTGAGTTTTATCATCTTATAATTTTATCAAATATTTTTGACCCTTTTGAATATCATTTTTTTAAATTTAGGTGTACAATTGGCAACACTTCCAACACATCTGAATACTTGCTTTGCAGAATGGAGGATTTGAGGACGATGGTATGTATATTTGTCACTGTAGTGAGTATTTTTTACCGAACATGATGATTATTTTAATTATACGCTATTATGACTTATTATGAAATCACACTTGCCCTCTCTGAACTGTAAAATTCTCCGACAATGTGTCTTTTTAGTGCTCTCCTGTTAATATTAATTTCATTTTGCAGTGGGGAAGAAGCTTGTCGATGACTGAAGTTTGACCCGATGCTAGGACCATGGGAGGTTAATATGTGGACAAGCGCATAAGCAATTTCGTCATCAGCATGTGGCGATTAAGGAAATTTCTCGACATAACACAGGATGTCTGTTTGCTAGGGCTATTGCTGAACATAAGGATTTTGTGGGCATATTTGTATTAAATAAAATGTTTATTTAAGAGTGCCATATTTTTAATATACCCACACATTCTCAAATGCAAAACCTATTATGTCAATACACATGATGCTTAAATTTGTGCATTAATAAGTTTAGTTTATTTTAAATGTTATACTGTAATGTCCTATTTGGAAAACTGCTTTTTGCCAATTCAATGTTATCTTTAAACATTAATTCCTCATTTAAATATCTTGACTGACAATAATAGTAGTCGGGAGACATTTCTGAAAAGTGCATGTCTTAACGGCGTTTTGTGCTACAAACTGACAACAGGCGGTTCTAGACTAATTGGCCCCCGTTGAAAACGATGCGCCCTGTTGCCAGACCCGATTTTGGCATTTCAGCCCTTAAATCCAAAATGGGCGGGTTTTTTTTTGGTTATTTCAAGCCCACAAGGCAGCCACTGCACGTTTGGGTAAAATAACATCTAGTACACACGACGACACCGTTTAGGCACACTTTCGTATTCATATTAAGGGCGTAAATGCCTAAACTCCGCTTAAAAATGCAAAAATTCATCTTTTTTTTTTCTTTCTGACCGGTTGTCGCGTCCAATATGCATTCATATGGTAAAGTTAACATTTAAGTATGTGGGGACCTCCAGCAGCGCCATATGCCTGGGGCATAAATACGACTTTTTCACTGTTTTTTGGACTTTCCAGGCGCCATTTTGATATTAAGGCCCCAGGCATATGGCGCTGCTGGAGGTCCCCACATACTTAAATGTTAACTTTACCATATGAATACATATTGGACGCCGACAACCGGCCAGAAAAAAAAATGACGAATTTTTGCATTTTTGACGTTTTTAAACGGAGTTTTGGCATTTAGGCCCCTAATACGAATACGAAAGTGTGCTTAAACGGTGTGGACTAGATGATATTCTACCCTTAAACCACCCAAAACGGTCAGTGGCGTGCCCTGGGCTCGAAATAACCGAAAAACGGTAATTTCGCCCGCCATCTTGGATTTAAGAGCTTAAATGCCAAAATCGGGTCTGGCAACAGGGCGCATCGTTTTCAGAGGTGGCAAATTAGTCTAGAACCGCCTGTTGCCAGTTTGTACACAAAACGCCGTTAGACATGATTTAGAGAGCCTTTTTCAGAAATGTCTCCCTGACTATAGTGTGCATTGATTACTGTAATGTACAGTGTGGTCCATTTTATTGGTCTTTTAAATAATTTTTTGAACGATTAGCGCATTACAAGTGGTACCATCTTGCTGAAAAATAACCGTTCGCCTCTCTTCTAAAAAAATATTGGGTAAATCTTTCAGATTGTGCTCTAATGTTTAGTGGATGTAAGTGCCTCTGAAAATATATTTTAAATGTCGTTTCGGGCAACACCACACATTAAACCCAAATTTTCCTTGGGCTCGTATAGAATAGTTAGATGCGGGCTGTCATTTGCCCAATAGCGGTTCTTTGGTCTATTAAAAATAATGCGAGTTCTGGTGCGTTGTATTGCCATTGAATTTGTTATAAATTCAATGGTATTGCTTACCAATTACAATACAATTCAGTTAATTTGATCTGATTAAAGTTAAAAAATATTGTGCGTCTTGAATTTGAACTATAGTACTGCTTCAATTTTGAGTAGAAAGAACCCTTTAAAGTCCGCACAAGTACTTAATTAATACCATTGTATGAATAAACAAAGTTAATACCATGTATTTGTTAATTGTGAAATATGAGCACGCGTATTTATTCAAATATTTGTAGTTCAATAAGTCGTAGTTCAAATGCTCTTCGTTTTTAGTTCAATGTAACAACCATATCATAATTGCCAACTATGCGGACTTCAATGTGTATAGATTTTCTAGTCACTTTTCCAAGAGCAAAACACCAACAATAAATTTGCATTCTTTTTTCCTTTTACGCCCTTGTGCAGTCCTTTTAATGTGAAGGAAGAAAGTGATGTACGATTCTGAGTGGGCCGCTTTGGCAGTGTTTCACTTTAACAAGAAACATTTGGCGGAAGAAATTTATTGTTTATGTAGCAGGGTTTTTACATGGTAAGTCAAAAATACATACGCAGTCTGTCAAATGTTTTGTTTTTGCGACCGTTAATGTTTTTTTAATTTTTAAATAATGTACGGTAGAGAGCCTTTGTTTGCGTAAGATTAGTGTAAAATGAACGAGGAGGAAGAAGTAACGGTAAAGGCACCTAAAATAGAGGACTTTGTGATTGTGAAACCGATCAGTAGAGGTGCTTTCGGGAAGGTGTTCTTGGGGTATAAGAAGAGTAACGCGCAAGTGATGTATGCAATAAAAGTGATGAAAAAGTCGGACATGGTGAATAAAAACATGGTTTCGCAAGTTGTTAACGAACGTAACGCTTTAGCGTTGACCAACTGCAAGTTCTGCGTCCATTTGTATTATTCCCTACAGACTGCTTCGTCGATTTACCTCGTCATGGAGTACATGGTGGGTGGTGATTTGAAGTCGTTACTAAGCGTCTACGGCTTTTTCGAGGAGAACATGGCCGCCTTCTACATAGCGGAAGTGTGCTTAGCATTGCAGTACCTACACAAGCATAGCATTATTCATCGCGACATCAAACCGGATAACCTGCTACTGTCTCGCGAGGGACACGTTAAACTAACCGACTTCGGCCTATCGCAAGTTCACATACATCGCGATTTAGAAGTGAGCGATTTTCAAAATTGGACGCCGAATTTGTGTTTGCGGACGCCGGGGCAATTGCTCAGTTTAACCTCGCATTTTAGTTTCGGCTCGGCGGGGAACAGTATTAACAGTAGTTTAGAGGATAGCGCCGCACTACAAACGTTATTGCACGAAAACTCCTCCCTATCAGGTATAATCCCTTTTTTATCCGCCGAAGTTCTACCGGAAGAATCGAGCAGCTCCTACCACACTTGCTCGAATTGCGAGAGTCACGATCATACTGTCGACGCAGAGGTATCCTGCACGAATTCGCCGATAAGTCGAAAGAAGAACCGCTGCTGTGTTCTGACTTTTCGAGAGGACCGCAAGCGGAAGTACAAGTCGAGCTCGCCCAACAGTCGTAAAACTTATATTCGGACGGGTTTAACTGGCGAAATACAGGTACTTCGGATGCAGTCGGATACGCCCCTTAAAGGTGTCACGTTTAGTACTCCGGTTTCGGATGAGAAAATCAAAAGTAAGGTCACAAGATTTGAGCTACCAGAAAATATTAAAGAAAACGTGATTAGCCCCGTTCAGAGTACCCCCAAGACGCCTATCACTCCGTATCGAACGCCGAAATCGGTAAGGCGTGGTCAGTGTCATTCCGATCAGCGGATTTTGGGCACTCCCGACTACTTAGCCCCGGAGCTGCTGTTGAAAAACGGTCACGATTGCGCCGTGGACTGGTGGGCGTTGGGTGTGTGTTTTTACGAGTTTGTGACCGGAATTCCGCCGTTTAACGATGACACTCCCCAGCAGGTTTTCACTAACATCTTGGAGCGGAACATAGAATGGCCCACGGGTGACGAGGCTCTAAGTGAGAATGTCGTCGGTGCCATCGAGCAGTTACTTACGTCCGATCCACAAAGTAGACCGGCAGCCGCCGAAGTAATGGCAATGAAAGTGTTTGACGGTTATGATTGGAATAATCTTCTGTCGGCAAAACCACCGTTTGTACCCGATCCTGATGATCTGACTGATACGGGTTATTTTCAAGCCAGAAACGACTTATTAAATTTTAACATTTCAAAACTCGATTTCTAGGTTGTAGTGAAATCTGTGATGTCCCCATATGTTACCTATTGTAGAAAAATATATACATTTTTGAATTAAAATTGATTTTATTTCTAGTATCTCAAAAGTATGTACAGTCTGTTTCAAATTAAGTCGGCACTATTGCCAACTTTCTTAGTTGTAGAGTTAGAAGGACGGTTAAATTAGCAAAATTGTGTATTTTTTTCTAAGTCTGTAATTAAAAAAACAAGACAATATCGCCTTTTTCAGATGATAACATGTGACTTTTGTTTGGAACACCATGTATATTAAACCTTATGGCAGTGGTTCTTAGTGCATCATACACAAAATACTTCAAATAACTAAGATCTTTCAATTATTTTCATCTTAATCTAGTTATCCATGAAAATCTCGATGAAAATGATAAAAAAATACATAATAGTAAACAGGCTAAATTAAGTAAAGGGGCTTGCTTTAAGTTTAAATAACAATCGGTTGGTCGGGATTAATCCTTCATCGGCATCCTTTGCGCCCCCCACTCATTCCATGGGTTTGATAAAAGCTCCTGAGCTTGGCAAAATCCATGGCAACCATTGTCTTATTAATAATGAACTTGACACATGCGCAGATCTTATCTACTAAAATAAAACAAAGGGAGACAGAGAACTTGATGACATGACTGTTAAAATATATACAGGGTGGTGCCTAGCGCGACGCAGCATAGAGATTTCAATGGTAATTTCTTTATAGTCAATTACTAGCTCCCCTAATTATTTTGGAGCAAAAGTCTAAAGAAGTTTTTGTAGAGAAAAAAATACTGCATCTGTTCATACTATTACTCATAATTTTCCGTTTTTCAAAACCGTAGAAATCGACAAAATAAAAAGCTTCATTTTACAATAAATCAGATATGCCTTGGAATTACCTAAAAAACAGCGATTTATCATTCATTACGGGATGATTTAAGATTATTAAAAAAAATTAGTATACAGGGTGTTTACATAATTTAGAGTAGGTAAATTTTGGGTACATAGCTAGAGTAGAATTTTTCCACTTTGTAGCGTTTTATAATTTTAACAATTCGTAGGAAGGGGACTTTGAACTCGTTAAATTAACTATGATTTTAGTTATCGGCTTGTGGGATGGGTCGGAGGGTGTTTGTTTCTTTTACATGGGGGCGCAATACACTTGTTGAATTTTGTTATCATCTACATGTTTATTTTAAAAAATAACAATTTAAACATTTTCGTCAAATAACAAATAAATAATCACTTTTATTTTAGGAATTGCAAATACGATCTTCAGGATAATCCCAGTGAGGAGTGCGCTAACGAAAATGTGAGTCATTTGATTCGCGTAAAAAAATGATTGGTCACTTTGATACATTTCTAGATAGAAGAGCTCGATTACGAGATCGTTCCATCGCAGTTAATAGAGCAAGGCGACAACTGCGACCTAAACTGGCACGATTACTGGGCGCTTAATGGCGAAAGGTTAATTTGGGAATCGTGGATTGCCAAGTATAGCTCTTACATAAATCCGGAATTCACTCAGACGTTGTGCGATCAATCCTCGGTTTCGAAGCAGTCATCCCTAGATAAACCGGAGAGCGCTTGCAGCCTGAAGTTATCTTTCGATTCGGCAAGTCCCCATCTGGACAGCAGCGATTACAGTGCTACCTTAGTAAGTCGCATTCAAAACTACCGATTTTTCTTCTTTACTTATTTCTGAGTATACTGTTCTGCTACCTCTTAAGCTGTTAAAGGGGGCGTGATTTGGAATGAGGGAGAATGTACGTTTTCTTTTGGTCAGTGATAAGGTGAAGGTGGGAGGAGTTTTTGCCAACAAATTGTTGGAAATTTTGCGCACAATCTCCCCTTACATTGAAGGATGTCGCTAGCTTTTGGTTTTTACTGACTTTTGGACTTATTTTTGCAGGAATGCAGCATCTCCAACGAACCAAAGCATGAGGTGATCGAAAAAAATCGCATGCTCGTCAGAAATCTGTCCGGCAGTGAGTCATACGATAAATTAAACAGAGAGGGGGAAGGTTGGAACCCGCTCTCGCCGTTAAGTAACGATTACGAAACCGAAATCGAAAGGCTGATCACATCCAGATGCGACTCGCATACCGGCAGCTCATCGCGGACCGTCGACTCCATGACCAACGTTACTCGCATGACCGTGTCGTCCATTGATCTAAGCGAAAGCTCCAAAAGTTCGGAGAGTTTTTCGTCTGTGAGTTCGGTGCAGAGTTCTTTGACGTCGACCAGTTCGGAGGAAGTCGACGACACGGCGACACATGAGCACGAATGGAATGACTTGTGGGCGCATCATTACGAGCAGGAGTATTACGAGCATTACAAGAAATTTGCGCAAAATTCTGTGCAAAATCACAAGTCAGGTATTAAAATTCAATGCTGCGTTAAGGGCTCTTCAGAAGTATATATTCTTTAACGATTCTTTAAATACTCTTTAATTATTAAAGATTTTTGAGTGATTTTCTAAAGATTTTACAAAAATTCTTCACATATGCAGCAATATTTATTAAGAAGTAGACATACGGATTTACGTGTATTCTTTTTCCTTTTGTCTACTTTTAAATGACAAAATCTCGCATAATTTTATGCAACCAAAATAACACCTTAACGCAAATTGCTGTCATCTTATTCAATTTATATATTGTTGCTTTGGTTTCACAGAAAATAAATGTGTTACGCTCCTTAAACTGTTACCTGCACTATACTAATTGACAATATCAACTTTTTCTTCAGTTGAATACATCGCACACAAATGAAAATACAAATACGAAAGCCAAAGCAATTCAATTCAATTAAATGACAGCCAGACCTTTTTTTGTTTTAAGAAGTTATTTTGGTTGCATAAAATCAGGCGCCCTTCAGAGAGATCTTCTCTTTTAAAAGTAGACAGACTTCTTAATAAATATTACTGTATATAAATTTTTAAAAGCATGTAATGATGTGAAAACCTCTTTGTATTTTTGAATACTGAACGGAAAGCTACTCCACACTTTTTCTCAAACAATTGTTTGTATTCAAATAAATTTATTCTCTCCAATTAAATTTACCGTGCAATAAATTGATCGAGTTCTGTTTAGTAACTGAAGATAAATCGCACGACGAGGATACAAACTTGCTCTCATCAATTTTGAGCTTGATGAGAATGGACGAGACCAACGAGGACGACTGTTCCGTACCGAATCAAATGAATCTCATGGGTCTACCCACAAGTTTCGGTAGCAGAAAGTTGAAAAAGGCGGTGCACACGCCCAGGTTCTTACAAGCGGCCTAGCGTTCGTTTTTCTTTAGCGCGTTTTTTAGGTCCAACGTTAAAAAAGGAGAGCAGTCTAGTAGAGATCAAATTCGAGCGGCTTTCAATTTGATCGGAATGCGGATACAGGAGAGTAATAGCGAGGCGCTTGTCGGTTCCTTCGATTATAAAATGAAAAATATACAGAGACAGAATGATATGTTGAAGATGAATAAACATATCAGGTTCGATGATGACGGGTTAATCATTCCGGAAGAGGACGAGGTGATGATTTTCATGTTACAAATAGGGGTGGGCGATTTACTGACCACTAAAGAGCGCGTATTTTCCTCTTAATATTAATGCAAAACCAAATTTTGAAACTGGTGCTAATTCCAAGTGCCTATGTATCAAATTTTTTTACATTGCGCATGCGCAAAACCTAAAATATCGGGACGCACGGGATCCTTGTCCTTTCAAATGAGCTCCAATCGGTTCAGTAACGTAGAACTAGTACGTGTGACGGACGGACGGAGGGACACACGGACGACAAAGTGCGGCCATTTTTAGAGAAATACGTTAAAAAGTCACTGGAATGAGGTTCTTGCTAACTCTTAATGATTCCAGTTCGCATAAGGCAAATAAAACCCTGTATGTAAAATATGGTTAATCATAACATTTTAGTTTCCATATTGCATTACATAGGTTTAGGAAAAAATTCTATATTATTACTATCAAGCTATTTACATGGCCGAGCCCAAACAGTTGTCAATAATGAATTAGCCTCTAGTCGCAAATCGATCCACTGTGGGGTTCCTCAAGGTTCAATACTTGGGCCTCTTTTGTTTTCTATTTATACTTCCCAGATCTTAATTCAATAAAACACGTAAACTATCATGCCTACGCGGATGACACCCAATTATATTATGGGTTTGAAGAGTGCAACATCGATACCGCTAATGCGATTATTAACACGGATCTAAGCAACTTTATTAAATCTGCCACAGATCACTCTCTGCATATAAATGCGGAGAAAAGTAAAATTCTTTTATTTGGCTCAACACATAATTTATTCAATCGGGAACAGATAATATCTAAGTTAAATATTCAAATCAACAATCAGTCTTTATCATTTGTTAATAATGTTAAAAACCTTGGTTTAATTCTTGACTCTACTTTAAGATTTGAGCAACATATCAAGGTGTGTATACAACGTACCTACGTGGGATTGAGGTATGTTTATGGGATTAAGCACCTTCTAAATTCAAATTCGAAAATTCTATTATGTAATTCTTTGGTTCTTTCGCATTTCAGCCACTGTTCTACAGTGTATGGCCCTTGTCTCACTGACCGTAATTCTAGAAGGATAGAGGTTGTACAAAAATCGTGCCTAAAGACTAATTTTTGGTATCAGGAGAAGGCTACCCATTTCACATAAATTATCAGAAATTAAATGGTTAAACATGGAGAAAAGGCGCTTACTTCGTGCTTCCGTTCTTTTTCACAAAATCATAACCTTTCAGTCACCCCCTTATCTTTATAACAAAATAACTTTTCGCACAGATGTGCATAACATTAACATTCGCCGTAAAGACCACATAACCATTCCGCAGCATAAAAAAGGAATATTTCAGAGGTCATATTCGTACGCGATTGCTCATATATATAATGCTTTGCCAGCAGATGTAAAATGTTATGTACCAGATAAATTCAAAATTAGTGTTCGTCGACTCCTCCTAAAAACATCCTAAAAACATAATAAATATGTAAAATATTTCCGTGTTAAAAACAATTAACAGCTTACTTTGTAAACCACATCTTGATTGTCAAATTCTTGTTTCTTGAGTTTTAAATGTACTACTCCATTTTTTGTTTCACTTTTTGTATGTATCATGACCTGTCTAGTTAAATACACTAACATAAAATAAATTAAAGGTTGAGTGGAAGAGCAGACACGGATGATATCCCTGTCTGAACTCCGCCATTTAGACAGGCTCTGTATAGAAATTGTCTATTAAAGTCATTTATTATTATTATTATTATATGTTGCCCGCCCCTATCCTTAGAGTAATTTTTAACTCATTGCTCGCTGATTTTTTTATTAATCAAAATAGTATTTAGCATAGCGTAATAGAATTCTAAACTTGTATGTAGGTGACAGTACAAAATTCCCACCAAGATGAACTTTTAGGAATTATTCCAAGTTCTAGTACGGAAGACGAAGCGGAAACGGGCGGTAACGATCTGAACAACGAGACGAATAGGCGCAATCGCAAAAGGCGGAAAAAGCGAAAGCGCAAACTGGATCTTCCACTCGAAATAGCGGAAAATCCGAAATTGCGCAAGTTTTGGCAGCGCCGCTACACGCTATTTAGTAAATTCGACGAGGGGATTCGGCTCGACGAAGGTATAATCCGGCGATTACTTGTAAGATCTCAGTCTCGCTTTTCAGAGAGCTGGTTTTCTGTCACCCCCGAGCTGATCGCGAAGAATACGGCTCGGCGATTGCGTTGCGACGTCGTAATCGATGCATTTTGTGGAGCCGGTGGAAATACGATCCAACTGGCGCAAACGTGCAACAGAGGTAAAGGCGTAGATCGGCGTGCTCGAATAATTCCACTACTTGCAGTTATTGCTATCGACATTGACGTAAACAAAATTAATTTCGCAAAGCACAACGCGGAAATCTACAAAGTGGCGGATCGCATCGAGTTTATAGTGGGCGACTTTTTCCAGCTCGCCAAAAGTTTAAAGGGCGACGTCGTGTTTCTAAGCCCCCCTTGGGGAGGGCCGGAATATTTAAATCGGTCCACATACGATTTGGAATACTTACAACCGCGCCCTCTAACAGCACTGATGGAAGCTGTAAGAAAAGTTACACAAAATGTGTGCCTGTTCCTTCCAAGGAACTGCAACACTTACCAGGTGATTTTGTTATCTACCAGTTTGTGTTCTAATAGCGCGTTTGCAGCTAATTACCGCGGCAGGACCTGGCGGTCGTGTCGAGCTAGAACAAAATTTCCTAAATAAAAAATTGGTCGCTTTAACTGCTTACTTCGGAAACTTGATTAAGGAAGTTTAATTTTAGTATTTGACGACATTCATTTTGAAGTATGTGTCCATTGCATCTCACATTGTAATTATTTTTGTGTCTTATGTGGCGTTCATACCTTTTGAAGTTTTTTAAAATAAATATTTGCATACTTTTTACTTATATAATGTATAGTTTATTCAATTGTTGCTATCTTAAGACTAGACTAGAAAGTGCCATCGTGATCACTTCAATTTTTATAATTTTTGAATGTGGGGCCCACTAAATACCTTACTAATATCCAAAGAGTGGTACTCTTTGCTAATATCGTTATTTCTTGAAAAATGGATAAGAGTTAATAACCAAATAAGAAACTTCAAATTTACTCTTAACCAGACTGTAATATAAAAGGTTATTACATGTAGAAAGCGAAGTTATTCTAGATTTTTGTGATTATGGGAAACATTGTTTAGTAATAATAATAATATATTTGCTGTCAGGAGATCAATCACATTGATAATGACAAAGTCCCATTAACACGAACGTAAACTAACAAATAAACAATCAAATTGCTCACTTTATATAGCGTTTTCTACATGTAACAGTGTTTACTGTCACAACAAGCAGAGCCCCCTCTTTTTTGACAATTTTTTCAAAATTCCCTACGCCCCCCTCTTCCGCTTTTCTATTCACAGGGGAACCCGACCAGGCAGCACTTATGCACACCAAAGGCCCATTGCCCCTATCCCCTTTCTTTGGCATTGAAGTTAAGCTTTTTTAAATACAGGGTTAGGACCCTGTTTAGCCTAAGTTGCTTCACCCTCCCCAGTTTCAAACGACTGTCGCTAAGGAGCTGATGTCTGTTTCTGAGCAAAGGTGGCACAGTGACCGACCACATGTTTGGTAATTGCCACAATACCTGCACTTGGGCTCTCCTACAAGCCCAATGTGTATAGGTGATAGCTGACCATTTAGGGCCCCGTTGGGAAACCGGTGATATAGCAAAACAAGCTTAGAAGACACAGATGTGTCAAGAAGCTCTGTTAAAACGACCCTGGACTGCCTGAGTCCGCCCTTTCGGCAGTGCGCTGGCACCGGGATCCTATGCCCCTCTGCTGATAGGGCCCTTAGCGCCGCTTACATTGATAAGAGGATAGAAAGAAGGGTAGTAGTTGGTAGAAAACGGTTCCTTTCATTCATCATTGAGGCCTTTAATTAGAATACAATGAGCGATAAAATTAATGTTTACCCCTCCCCTCAGGCCCCGTTGCTCATTAGAATACCAAGAAGGGTAAAACATGTCCCCCATTCGCTAAAGTTTCACTTAGCACCACTAAAGGCATGCGTATGCAAAATCTGAGACCAATTGGTTGTCATATGTAAAAGTTATGCACGTTTTACTTTCAAAAATAGCATCTCAGGAAATAGTTCGTGGGGGGAGGGGGCCAGAGCTGGGCAGTATTCGATTTTGTAAATACTTTTTAGTATTCAAATCCTTTAAAGTATTCACATCCTTTAAAGTATTCAAATACTTTGTAATTAAATACTTTTATGGAAATATTTAGTATTTGGATACTTCGTAAAGTATTCGAATACTTCGCATAGTATTTGAATACTTAACCTTCCTTTTTTACCAAAAATCGACTGCATCTTGGAACTGTTTGAAATTATGGATTCTACAGGCCACATTCTATAAGAAAATTTTTTTTCCGGGTCGATCTGAAACAACTTTTTTTTCTGGCCAAAAAAAAGGCAGTGTATAACCTTCCTTTTTTACCAAAAATCGACTGCACCAAAATTTCTCGGGAAAACACTTTTTCTTATTAATTTTGGTGTGTAGAATCCATAACAATTCGTACGTTTTCGATTTGACCTCTCAATAAAAAGTTATGGACAAAAAACAAATTTCGAAAAAAAATTCAAAGGGCTGTAACTTTTGATCTAGTAGCCCAATCTTCAAACTGTTTGAAATTATGGACTCTCGATCGATCTCGATCTCAGACAATTTTTTTCCGGCCTCAAAAAAAGGCACTACTTTTAAGTTATTCAAATATTTGAGAACAATTTAGAAATGTGTAGGGAAAGTTTCCATTGTCACAAAATCAAATATAAAAATCCGATACATCTGAATACCGAACTCGATAGTCTACGTAACTTAAAAACAATAGGGACCTTTCTTATATCCTTAAGACCATGTGTACCAATTTTCAAAGCGATCGCACGTTTCTAAACAAGTTATCATGCACATGGACAAACGGATGGTCAAAAATGGATCTGTTCCAAAATCGCTAGGATTAATTTCAGAAAGGCGTAGGTATCATGTGCACGACGTACGATCGCTTTGAAAACTGGTACACGTATTCTTAAGGATATAACTGGTATAAGAAAGGTTCTGGTAGGTATCTCCTATATAATAATAATACGCTTTTACTCCCCTTAAATTTGTATATAACAATTTAGAAATATAAAAAAAGCTAACCCCATACAAAGTATAACTTGATTTTTTAAGTAGTATTAAGCCTTTTATCTAGTATACTATTTTAAATTTTTAATGTATTTGAGTGACAAGTATTCGAATACTTTTCAAAGTATTTGAATACTTTTTATAGTATTCGAATACCTTTGATAGTATTAGAAGAGGAGTTAGTTATACTTTTCTGTTGCTAGATCAGTAAAGTCCCTGGTAGTTTAGTTGGATATCATCATCAGTTTGAACAAAGATCATACTACAAGATCTTTCATTCCAATAACAGTAGAGTAAATTTGTCAGTCAGTATAGGTATATTACATATAGATTACAATGAAACTTTTAAAAACAAGGTTTGAAACCGTTCTGGAAAATTTGAGATTCAAGCTGCTTTTCTGGACCACATTTATTTATAATTCCCATTACGCATATCCCTTACTTACAATATTTAATAATATTCGTACTCGAATATTCCTGGTATATAATACAGAAATGTTTAATGTTATCTGGGATAATAGATTAATCATATGAGGGATCCAATAAGAGTAGAACTAGATTAACTCAATTGTATTTGCTAAAAACATGTTAAAAATAAACAGCGAACATTTCAAATTTTTTTTTCATTTCTAGCCCGTTCTGCACATCGTCGTAACCATTTATTAACAGACAATTCTGCATCCATGGCGGTGCAATTACTCGTTTTCATCGCGGCCTCTAAAACAAAAGAAAGCCAGTAAACTACGTTCGACAAATAACGCGTTCAATTACTGGTTAATAGCGACGCTAAATGCAAATTTTTGAAGACCCGCTTTCCCTTTCTGCCCAACCAACTAAAGTCCGCCGAGAACCTGTTGGTAATTATCCTTTGAGTTGCGCGATAAATAAAATCATAGGTATTTCGGCCACCAAAAGTTGAAATTTCGGTAAGCTGAAACATAAATGGTCACAATGTCTGAAAAGGCACTACCGGTACGCACAATTTTATTAAAATCGGCGACATTCTGTAAGGCATCCTCGAAATTCTGCAAGTCAGCCTCGCAGTCAATGGGCAATCGATACTTTGCGAATATTGAATCGGCGTCACCCTCGATAACACTTGTGTCTATGCCGCCGACAGTTTTAATTTTAATTTGCGATACATCCCGTATTACCCTCGAGACCATGTTTAGCAGAAGGTTTTGCTTTTTTACGATTAATTGCAGGTAACCTGTAATAAGAGCACTAGTAATTTTGCAGTTACCCAACTATCGATTTTGTTTTTTTTTTTCTTAATAAATTATATTTATGAATTTAACAAAAGGATACAACATTAACATATTGCAAATAAAATTGTTTAAAAACATAAAAAAAAACTACTGTATACTTAAAATATAAAAAATTTCATTAAATGCTGTCTGTGGCGGTAGAGTGCCTAAAATACAAGCCTGAATCTGTTTAAAAAATTCAATATTATATATATTAAATAATATTCTGACTATAATAATCAATTCATTAAAAAAAAAACTCATATACACATCAATTATGCGATCAAATATTATGGGGTATCCTTTTTTAGTTCGCGTTTCAGACGCAAACTACACAAGCGAAACCACTCACTCCCGTACTTATCGAACAGCATGTCACTGCAGTGGTACGTATCATACGCGACGTCTACAACAACAGTCAGGTAAGCAAGTACAAGGTGGTGAAACGTTACCCTTTATCAGCTTCATAAATTTGTAGTGGCAAACTTTGATATTGTTACGTAAACCTAACCAACTGCATTTGGTGCCGAATGCGTACGAGATCGTATGCTTGAGAGATCGACTGATGAATTCCTGATATGTGTTTCCGCCCAACTTCTTTAAGTAGTCGACCTGCAAGCTGAAGATGTAACGGAATAAGTTGCAGTAGTATATACGGCATACATAGGCTGAAGCGGTACATTCGTCAGCCGTCAGAAACTCCTCAAATTCGTGTAGCATCTCCTCAGTTTGTATCGGTAGTCTGTTGTGGAATATTTCGGTCAATTGATTGGCCGCACCCCGGTTGTCCGTGCGGCTTTCTAATGTTTTGAGGCGCTTGTCTATACGTTTTACATAAATAAGTATTTGACTGCACAACGTGTGAGTACGAATTTTTCCGACCGGGGCACCTACAATAAATTCAGAATGAAAATGACACAAGATGTACTCATCATTAGTGGTCAAGTTTTAGGTAAAACCTGCACCTTTTGTTAGTGAGGATGCTAATCTACAAGGGGGTTAATCGTTTTGTTTGTTATTATATCAAAAGTTCTTCGGAGTCTTCAAAAAGACGCACTTCTTTTCCAAAGCTAAAATCAGAATTTGTACCCTGTAGCTGCAGTAATGAGTTTTCTGGAAGTTTTCTATAAAGAAGTTAAATGTCCAAGCGATTATGTGTACCTAGTTTTAAGAATTCTTCACCTGCCCAAGAATTGCAAGTGGAATCCTACAAGTGTTTAAAACATCAATCAATAAGTGGAAGAGCAAATGTAGTATCTCTTGATAGTACATCGAACTTCATCCAATAAGATACCTTGCACATAATATTTAGTTTTATTTTTTATATATGCATGTACTCAGTTAGTGTAGCCAATAAAATACCTACATTGTTATTAAACATGCCTCTCGCCTTGAACATCAAGCAGTGTTTAATTAACAAATTATTCAGTAAGAGGTAAGTAATAAAAATTAAATAATTACACATACAGTAAGCAGCAACAAAAATACAACTTAATAATGTTCACACAAATACCGTAATACATAAAATGATTCTACTTTTTTTTTCGTTACTGGCACATTCTCACAGGCTTCAATCTACTTCATCATCAGGTTCGGATAATTGGCATAATCTGTTGACAACACAATCGCAGTCGCTGTTGGTGGATTAATTGTTCTCCTACTCCTACCACATCCTCACTTGGGTGGATGGCGAATTTTAGTACCATTGGACCAACTTGAAGATTCTTTTTTCATTTCAAGAACTATAATAGCTACACGGTCGGTTAATGGATGTTGTACTAGATAAGTAAGGGATTTTATAAACCTTTTCCTTTCAAAAATCAATGGGGGCCTTTTTTTGAAATTTTGGTTAATCGTCATTTTGTTATTTGAAAAAATAACAACTTCCTAGCTTAAAGAAAATATTTTTAAAAAAAGTTTTTGACAGTCTTACATCATTCATGCCTAATATACACTGCCAAAAGTCATATTAATTTGCTGAATGTGCAGTTTTTTAAAAACGTTTTTGAAAAAAATGCTCGAACACGTCAATTTTTATCTTAAATGAGACATATTTTACTGTAATTGTAACTTAAGGATCGTCATTTGTTTTTGGGATATGACGTAAGCGATAATTATAATCAATTATTAATGTTTTCACAGCAATTATCTCGAATATTTCAAAATACACTACCATACTTTTTTTTTTTTAGCGTATTTGGTCTTAGAATTTCAAATTAAGCATAAAAAATAGAGTTGCCACTATTGCGTCATATCTCAAACAAAAACGATCTTTAAATGACAATTACAGTAAAATATGTTTCATTTAAAATAAAAAATGACGTGTTTGAGGATTTTTAAAAGAAACTTTTTGGACACTTTGTGTATTTGGAATCAACATTTGGTTTGGACAAAATAAGAATGGGAATGCCCAAAACCTAGATAAAGCTATTAGTTCGAAGGAAGAAGCAAACTTTTTTCACTATATTTTCGTAAAAAAATTGCCTCTTTTGAAGTAAAAAAATTGCAAAACATTTCAGGTTTCTAGAACAACCATTCAATTTTTTGAATTTTTCATTGGCCAGAGGGATTGCGAATATAATACTCACATATTTACTAAATATATAAGCCATCTGAGATTTCCCAAGCATTAGCAGAATTACCAAAAATGTCTGAAATTACTGAAAACTTACTAAAATTACAAAAACAATTACTAAACTTAACAAAAAATGTTGATGAGTAAATTTGTAGATTAAACGTAGGTACTTCTTGCGATATAGTCTTTCAGAAATATAATAATTTATGAATGCAATAGGGGAGGCCGCAGAAGAATGAATCGTAAATTAACTTTAATCATAAGAATTATACGATAAGAAAATTTGTTGATAATGGTAATTAAGAAAGATAACATACTGCACCATATTTGTTTGCAAATAATTTCAGACTGTCACAGCACCTGTAAAATTTCAACACTTAGTAACAAAATATGATATCAATATGCTACTTTACCTTCTCACTTTCAAAAGGCGAATTTTTAGGCAAATTGAGCATCTCCCTTAACTTTTCGTGGGTGCATTGTTCTGGAAATAAATCATAAACTGCTTGCAACAATGACATTCTACTTAATTCACTTACCATCAAGAAAATAAATAGCAAATTTGTATTAAATGTGCAGAAATATTTTAAATGACATACATATACTCCATTTGCTTATCTTTATTTCGTCCGTAGCCATTTGTAAGTATTGCGTGGCAATAATAATAACAATAAAACATAAGAAATTAATTGGTAAAAAGCGCTGTAGTAAAAGGCGTAAATATTAAAAAACCCCAAAATTGAAAAGAAAAATGCTAAAGTGACATAAGCAATATAATTTTTAAAAATCAATGACAACTCATTAAAAGAAAAACTATAGGAATACAATACAAATCTACAATAAATTTGTAACCATTATCATAAACGATAAAAAATATTTGTTATACGCAAATAGAAACACGTAGAAGATAAACATACATAGAAAACACAATTGTATCAACTAGATTTCTAGGAATTCTACTCCCAAATTAAAACAGATTTTGTTGTCTCGCATGCCTTTTGTGCAACTTTAACATACTTAATCTAATAAATCGTCAGGGATTTATTTATATAAAGCATAATATTTTTACAATACATTTGCACAAAAAATAACCAATACATTTGTACTCTTTTTCTCTAATCGTACAGAATTCAAACAGTTTTATCCGTAACTGCGTACTCTGTAATCCAAAAGTAAAAACAAAAATTGAAAAATCTCCAAAGTTATACAAAATAAGACAAAGTAATCCTTACAGAATATGTTACTCCGCATCGTGATACTGCACCCTGTAAAAGACACGGGTTAATCGAATGACCAAATTGTCACGGCACCGACCTTTGTTTTTTGCCAAGACGACGACTTAATCTACGATTACCGTCGGCCATATTTAAAGTGAAACGTTCCGTGGGCGTACGCTGTATGCGTAGCTCCTTAGGAAGGGTCCCTTTGGCCTTGTCGACCTTGCTCATGTATTTCTCGATGAGATCGGTACAGTCCAGATTATCCTCCGGCTCCCAGCTGTCCTGCGAGGACGGGTAGCCCTTCCACGAGACCAGGAATTCCCGTTTGCCGTTTTTCTTAAAGTAAACGTCCAAAATACGATCGACCTCGAACTCGTCGTCCGACTCCCAGTCGACTTGCGTGTCCTCCTTTGCCTTCTTTTTGCTTTTATCTGATTTATTGTCGCGTTTCGCGGCACGTTTCGGCGTTTGACCATTCTGGGAGCTCTTCCCTTTTTTGCCCCTCTTGGACGAGACGGGCGTCTCTTCTATGTTCTTCCTGCCCCTCCTGGGAGATTCGTTTTCGTCGTTCGATCTTTCGTTCTTGAATTTTTTTATGAGATCGGGACACTCCAAGGTGTTTTCGGGTTCCCAAGTGTCACTTTCTGGATCGTAACCTTTCCAACGGATCAAGTAGTGAATGACGCCTCGAACAACTTTCTCATCGATAATTTCCTCCACCTACAAGTTGATATGGTGATAGTCAATATGATGAGTCATGGTAAAATAGTAAACAAACCTCATATTGCTCCTCTTCCTCATCACTTCTTTCCTCTTCTTCCTTTTCTTTAGGTGGCTCCTTTTTTGACTTTTTGGGAGAGGCACTCTTGCGCCCTCTTTTCTTTTTCGTTTCGGCGGGAGCGTCGGCATCTGAAGCGTTGTCCTCCTCACTCAAATTTTTTTCACTCTTGCGCTTATCGCCCTTCTTCTTTTTGGGTTCCGGCGGGTTATCGGTGTCCGAGGCCTGTTCTTCGTCGCTAGCGTTTTTTTCACTTTTACGCTTATCCCCCTTCTTCTTTTTAGGCTCTGGTGGCGAGTCGTCTTCGGACATACGCTCTTCATCACTGGCTTCGACATCTTGGATTTCATTTGCTGTTTCCGCGCCGTTTTCTTGTTCACCAGAAGTGTCCTGTGCCTTCTCTTTACGCCCACTTTTTCTCTTCATTTTTACAAACTATGAACAACACCGCAAAATGGAATCGGCAAAGTAAATTTATTGCGAAAACAAACACCCGATTACGCGCACTATACACAAAACTACACCAGTCAGGAGTTTACTTGTTAGTAGACGCCAACATATTACGTACACACGTGTTGCCAACCTAAATCTCCCAAAGGAACCAGCCGTTTGAAAATTGAAACTACAAACGCAATATTTACAAAAATATGACGGTTATTACAAAAAATATTCAAAAAAGGGGAGAAAAAAAAAATTTCCTTCAAATGCCAACTTATGTTTATGCATGGGGGTTGTTTTAACATTATTAGGGTACATGTACCTGCAAGTGTGCGTTATTTCTTTGAGGGAAAATTTGATCAAAGATAAACAGAGTGCACAAGGGCAATTATCGCATTTTTGTACAGTGACGTAACAGACGTTGCTTTCTATTTGTATTCATTCTTCGAATGTAAGCATTTCTGGAAACTAGAAAGTGCTAGTATATAACTTAAAACGACGTTCAAAATTGAAGCAAACATATCTATAGGAGAGAAATATATCTCTGTCCTTTTGAAGTGGGTTTCTTACATAATAAACATTGAAATAAACGCCAATAAATAAACACAGTTACCGAAATGCGCCAGCGCAGATGCGTATCACAAATATCAACGTATGATAAAGAAATGAGATATGTTTGCACCGTAGACGTTTGCTCAATTTTCCACTTGTAGGATCTAGGAATGAAAAGAAAGCTTTTCAGTAAATTCTCACTTCTCAGAGCTTTTTGGAGCTTAATAGCCCATAGCGCGAAGCCGCTAAAGCCAATTATAATTATGGTTAATAAAATGAGTTACGTGGGATTTCAGGATTTGTTTGTTACGCCCAAAACCGCTGAAATGAAATTCTTTGAATATTGTATAATCAAAGATGGAAATGATCAGTTTGACGAGAAATTCGAAAAGGGTGGAAGGTTTTAGATGGCCCCGGTAGGATAAAGTCGAAGCTAATTTTTCTTATATAATATGAAATTCATTCTGGGCAACAAAATTTACATACTTAAATGTATTGATTCGCTGCCATAATGTTATAATTGGAATTTCCAACGTTTATTGCTAACAACGAGATTTCCCCCAACCCCCCTCCAATCCACACACCCAATCGATAATTCGATCGTAATATAGCACTTAGTTTTACAAATTAATTGCCCCAAGCCCTTGGAAATACCCTTATGTCTTGATAAATTACTTAATTAGGCGATGTTTGCTAATTGCTTTGTCTATACTGCCCTCACCCTGCATTACCAACGAAATTTGACAAAACAAACTCATTAATTGCAGATACCATGCAATAAATGTAAAGGGAAGCGTGATTGAGACATGAAAGAGACGCAAAGAATGCGTGAAAGGTTGTATTACTCGGTAAATGGAATAAAGCATCATTATTCATTAAATATATTTTTAGCGCATTTTTTAAGAATAAAAAAAATGTGCTATTGTTTGCGTTTTGTTCGTCCGACCGTCCGTCCGGACCCACTTCTGCCGTTTTGAGCTACTTCTAGGGGAATAGTCCTATCCTAGAGTCCTGGAATTTTTTGCAGTAGGCAGCCTATACCTTGCAGGTGTGCCAGACGGCCATCAAATTTCGCTGTCTAAAAGGATGCCCCCTCCAGAGCTGGGCAGAATACTTTCAAAAAGTATTTGAATACTATAAATACTTTTACGTCCAGCACAAGCGAATACTAGATACAGATACATTGAAAAGTATTCAAATACTTAAAAAAATAAGTATTCAAATACTTTAGAATGTATTCTAATACTCTCAAAGGTAATAAAACTTGAATGTTGTTGTATACTTATAATTGTAAATGTTTTCTTTAGGTAATCGATTTCGGCCCTAGGCCATCTTCAGACCTTGTGTCATATCGAAATCGATTACCTAAAGAAAACATTTACAATTATAAGTATACAACAACATTCAAGTTTTATTATTGCATCCTTATAATTACAATAATGGAGCAATTCATCGATACTTTCAAAGGTATTCGAATACTTTCAAAAGTATCTATACTCCGTAAAATAATGGGAAGAGTAGCAAAGAGTTCCCTCTATTGATCCACCAGGTTGGAGGCATGTAAAGGTAGATCTGCAGCAGCTTCTTGTACGCATCCAGCGAGGGCTCTTCATTGTTTGTTGAATTTCAAAAGTGGTCCGATTAATTCTTTGGGAATTTCAGCTCAAACCGCACTATTTTAGTATAATGCACATAGGGCTGCAATAGTCATTTTGCGGCATACCCTTTGAATTCCACCACAACCTTTTGGGGCATGTGCGTGTGAAGTACACAGAAACCGACACCAGGTCCACAAAGGGATGTGAATATATAAACGTAGCCCTATCAAAGGACAAAGATGATGTTTGGAAATATCATCTCGGGTTTCTGATTACTTCTCGGTGATAACTCAAAAAATCATTATGCAGGTCACTCTGTAATTGGGCACAAGCCTGTTGAGGGCCCAGAACAAGAAAGGGAACATCCTGAAGGGCTCCTTCAGAAAAATTTGGCAAGCTGACTACCCTGTATGCATTGGTGCATGGGAGGTTGCATAACCTTCAGTGTGGTTGTGTTATTGTTATTATATTTTATGGAATGGTCTTTAGCTTCCTTACCCGCATAAAAAGCATTAACGTAGTAAGTACTTAATTTTTATATTCGCATTAAATTTATCCATAAAAAAAATTAACATCTCAGTTGTGCTCGCAGAAGATGACGACAATGATCCCTCACGAAATAACGCTACCATTTGACAAAGCGACCTTTGGCATGGGTTGCTTTTGGGCCAACGACGCTTTGTTCGGTGCCACCCAAGGCGTGCTACGGACTCGAGTCGGTTACTCCGGTGGCAAGATGCTCAACCCGACCTATCGCAATATGTCCGTGTTGTAAGTAGAGCAACCTTGCGCCTTACTAACATCGCACTTTAGAATGGATCACACGGAAGTAATCGAGATACATTACGATCCCACCGCAATAACTTACCAGCAGCTCTTGGAACTATTCTGGAACAACCACGAGTACGGATTAACAACCAAAATAAAGAGACAGGTAAATTCGCTTACGTACAATTATCGCATGTGTTTAACACGGCAACATTAAGTATGCCTCTCTAATTCTTTACCATAACAACGGGCAAAGGTCGACCGCCGAGGACTCGCTGGAACAAGAAAGGCTGAAGCACAAAGAGGAAATGTGCACGGAAATTAAACCGGCTGCGATCTTTTACCCGGCCGAGGAGTAAGTTATCGGGTAAGGCGCCAATTACACGACCTCCCTGTTTTCAGTTACCATCAGAAATATCGCTTGCAACAGCATCCTCAGCTTTGCAAGGCTTTAATGTTAAATTCGCAGCTGCTGCAGGACTCGCACGTGGCTGCGCGCCTAAACGGTTACGTCGCCGGCGTCGGTTCGGTGGTAAGGCTCAATGAGGATTTGAAAACGTTCGGTTTGCCCGATAATTTAGTGGAGTATGTGAGGAAGGTTCATCAAGTTAACAAGGAGTCTGGGTTATACTGTTAGTTATAGTTAATGGGTTTTTTTTATTGTTAATTTTTTATTAGTCGTGTATATGGGAAATTTTATATGGCCTCTGATTTATGTTTATTAAATGCGTAAAAGAGAAAGCTAAGGTCAATGGCAACTACGTGTTTATTGTTCCATTTTCAAAGAATCATGTAGATCCAGTGGCGTGTTTACGGGGGGGGGGGGGAAGGGGATATCCCCCCCCCCCCCCCCGAAGAATTGAGTTAACATCTTAGGTATTTAGGTAATACTCCGCTCCGCCCACTTTAAAATAAAGGCAATTATATATAGAGAGCAATTTTGGTTTTGGTTAAAGTCTAAAAGTCACTAAAATCTAAATATTCTGTAGTATTCACTATTCAGTGAGTGATCAGTGTTGGCAGAAAAAAAATTGTCTCAGATCGACCAGAAAAAAATATTTTCTTATAGAATGTGGCCTGTAGAATCCATAATTCCAAACTGTTCCAAGATCGGACTACTAGATCAAAAGTTACAGCCCTTTGAATTTTTTGTCGAAATTGGTTTTTTGCCCATAACTTTTGATGGAGACGTCTAATCGAAAAAGTACGAATCGTTTTGGATTCTACGCACCCAAATTAATAAGAAAAAGTTTTTTCTCGAGAAATTTTGGTGCAGTCGATTTTTGGGAAAAAAGGATGAAGGTTACACTGCCTTTTTTTTGCCCAGAAAAAAAATTCTCAAATCGACCATAAGTCTTCCCGAAAATTTTGGTACCCCGCGCACCTCTGTACGATGAAAAAAAATAATTTTTCAGCCCCTGGAAAAAGAGGTGGTTTTTTTCAGAAATCGTGAGATCTTGGAAACGGTTCAACTTTATGGGCCCAAACAATTATCTTCTGTTGTATCATAAAACTGGCTATGTTACCTCCAAATTTCAAACCACTATGACATTTTTTCGCAAAAATAAGAATAAAAAACGAAAAAAACAGTTTTTTCGGTTTTTCTAGGAAAATTTGAGGTTATGTGAAAATAGTGCAGATACAAAAGTTGCTCATTTTTTTAATTTCTATAACTTTTACACTTAACATTTGGGTCTAAAATCAATAGTTTTACCACAATTTGCAAAATACCACTTTCCACCCCTTTCAACCCCCGTGATTTCACCCGCGGAAAAATTCAGCTGTTTTAATTATTTTTTCCCAAATTCTTTCCACCTGCCTGAAAAACCCGGTTTCGCCCGGTAACTAATTTTTTTCATACAAAAATTTATACTTATAGCCTGGACCAATTTAGAATAAGGCGCCTTTTAAACCCTTGCATATTTCTCCCTACAAACCCAATTCCATAGTTTTTAGTTGAGGAATAGTCAAATACAACAGAATTAAGATTGAGAAGGAAAATTTTATTTGCAAAATTTACAAATTAGGCACCGTCATGAACAAAAGAATTATATACTTCCCTTCTAGAATAATTATACTAAGTACATTAACAAAAATTAAAAAGCAAAATTGAATCTTAGAATGTAACTAATGAAGTAGAGAATTAAAAACTATTTCTGTATCTCGCAATTTGTAATGTTGTGCTTCTGTATATATCGTTTCCTAGCAGTCTCGAGAAGTTGCCTTTTTCGTTCTTGGAATGGCACCATACGCTCCTGCGGACTCTTTCCGAAAGACGGCGCCGCCGGTGTTCTACTCTGTTCAGTCTGATGATGTCGTTGCTCTTGACTCGTGCTCGGCTGTGCCGGTTCGGGCGTGTACTCCACGTTCCCCTCGAAAATGTTCGAAATCGTCTGATCCACGTTTCGCGTTTTCACTGAAAAAAGACGCCGATTAGCGTTTGTTTTCGAATTTTGGAGTAACAAACATAAATCAGTATAGATTACGTTGTACGGAACCATGGGCAGCACCTCCCGAACTTGGGCGACCATTAAGTGAATGGTCGGATGTCCGCTTGAAAGTGAGCTTGAGGTCGGTCGTTGTCTTGCTTCCATTTCTCTACGAACTACGTCTTCCATAAGTCTTTTTTCCCAGTGCATTAAATCGGTTGCAGAATATTCTGATAATTCAACCTACAATCGATTATTGTCATTAAATGATTGATATTAGTTGTTTGGGGGCGTCTCCCAAGTGGTATCTCCATAAAGGTGTGAGAGATAGAGTGATGGTTAAATGGGGGCAAAGTTGCTCCTTTTGTGACTTAAAAAAACGAATTTTTGTAAATAACTGAAAATGTCAAATTTTATTTTCCCTAGCTTCAGCGGTTGGAAATGGACGGTTCCCGTTAGCACCTTCTATGGGCACTTTTTTCGGAGAATCCATAGCACGCTAGATGTGTAAGGTAGAGGCTACTACTTTCTTATGGACGTTATATTGGATTTTTACAGAATGAGATCGAGGTCAAAAAAAGAAATTCATTTGAATGCATGGCCATCATAGCCATATGTTGATTTAGAAAGATCTAGATACCTGTGGATGTCGAGACATGAATGTAAAAATGTCTCTTTGTCTTTTGTTTCTTTATTTCAAAATCAATATGGCGCCCATATAAGAAATAAGAAAGTAGTAGCCTTGTAGCCTATAGCTTTTACATCTAGAGTCTTATGTAAATTCTGATAACAGATTCAGATTCTACAAAAGTGTCCATAGGAGCTAAATAACAGATTTCACTGTTATTAATAGACAGAGCAACAAAAAATGCACGATTTCAAAATATTGCCTGAAACTTGAAATAAAATACAATACCTGTAACGCATGTGCGATATCCTCACGAACCTTATCCGCAAATTTCGTTTCACTGAAATCCATTTGATCGACTACAGGTAAAAACCGTAGCTTATAACTTGTATACGGTGAAAATAAATACATCAACGTATCGGTCCAATACACACTATCAAACGTGGAAATCTTAATATCTAAAAACGGTCGGCTCACTTCAATACAGACGGGCTGGATTCGTTTGCAAAGTTGGAACGGCCACGTGGTAAATTTCAGCACAGCTTTACCATTAGTCTGTTTCAGTTCGGGTTGAAAGTGGACCGGCGTGCCGCTCTCTATCGTTTTCGCTATGTTTTTCTTAAAAATGGGAAACTCGACGGACTGCGAGCCGAAATGACGTAAACCGAACGAGGTCGAGAGGAGAGTATTGAACACATCTTTACCTGACTGAGACAAATCGTTAATTTAGTGAAGACCGAACCCCGACACTTACCATAACTGAGCCAGTTTGAGAATGTATCACCAGATGGTCGAAGGGCGACACGAAATTCGTAACATACACCGCTACGTTTTTCCTTTCAGCCGGATTTTCGCTATGTATAACAATTCCCAACGTCGCGCAAAATAGTTTGCATAGTAATTTTTGAATGACAGGTACATCTGGTAGTAGGAAGCCGAAGACGAACACTTGAATACCAAGTATTCCTCTTAGTAACAGCAGGAGAATGCCAAAGGGAAGATATAAGATAAAGGTAAATAAACCAACTGTATTCTGCGGGTATCTAAAAACGATCGGATTAATGCGTTTCGGTGATTCCTCGACGTTATACCTCTTCAGTAGGTATAATTCGCTTATATTTTTGCTTGGCATTCTAAATAATAATCAATTTTTCGCAAAATTTTGCTGATTACATATCATATGATAAAAAGGTTAGTGACAAGTTGTGACGTAGTTGTAACCACAGTGTACAGGAAAACTTAACCAAAAAAAAACCATATACAGAGCGGTGCCTCAAGATTCTTCCTAGTGAGTAGTGGCTTGGGTTCTTATGTATCAACCTTACATAACCCCCTCAAATGACAGACGAGACCTGATAAATTTAAAGTTGAACCAACCCCTGGAGGGTGGGTTTAATACGCGGATGACCATCTCCAAACATTTCTTGATGGGTCCGCACCCGCATTGTTTTCAGACTATCATATGGCTTTCGTAAGTATTGTGAACATATGTAAAAACAATGAATTATGAATAGTCTGGGTGAACTATCCCTTCGTATGATGATGTTTATGGCGCGATGTGGAGGATATACCGTGCACAAATATTGTTCCTCAATCAGAGAGTAAGAGACATTCTAGTAAGCAGGGATGGCCAAGAGAAACACTTTTTGGCATAACGCAAAAAAAATGAGAAGGAAGGTGAAGAAAAGACATGAAAACTAATCTTACGGCGCGGATTGTACCGGGTGATTCATTAGAAGTGATGATCGCTTGAATTTCGCGCGTAAGGTTTTAGTATTTTTTGCATTATTAGATTGACGGTTTGAATTTCGTTAGTAATTTTTTTCTGTCATGACTGTCATTTAAGAAACCAGTGTCGCCGTTAATTGTTGTGTGCTATTTGCGGTTTATTACTTTTTCCATTTTGAACAATTTTTAGAGTTGATGCACTAAAATATGTAACAAACATGACTGTGTCTAGTGTTGTTTAGTGGTAAAACAGAAGCAGTATTTGTAGATTATAAATAAGTAAACGATTTCCTGAGAGCATGACGATACACCACTGCAATTAAATAAATGATCATCAGTTAGTACCAACTTCATAATTTTTTTGATTTGCGGGAAATTCAAATTTTCCTCACTTCTAATGAATCACCCGGTATATAAAGATGGTATTTCTTATAGTTATTTTTTCGTATGGTTGGTATTGGCTGCATTGTTGCTGCACAGCTGATGAGCTGACGCCTGGGGGCGGATTATCATCAACTGTCATGGCGATTGTGTTGTCTTTTTCTTATCTTATCACAACAACCACAATATAAATATTATTAATTATTATCATGGGTTTATAAACAATTTATTCAAGCAATTATAGGAAAAGTAAACTGAAGATGGAGTCTTTTCGCCTTTCATCGCAACGGAAATGACTAATGGTGAACACTTGGGGTGGGGCCTATGAAGAATCCTTGTCATTCACAAGCTAAAAAATGCCAGGGATGAAAGACACAAATATAGTAAAGATAGCGGTGGAGATGACCGACCAGGTTCCTCAGCTAATCGAGTTTAACCAAAAACAGCCGTTGGCCGGAATAATTCAAGAGTTGTGCAACGGTTGGAGCTTAACCGATCCGGAACAGTACGCGTTGCAGTTCAGCGAGAACAACAATCGTAATTACATAACGGAAAAGAATCGTAACGAAATAAAGAACGGATCCGTCCTACGACTGCAGTATTCCCCCTCGAAGACCGCGCAAGATATTCTGCACAAATTAAATTTAGGATCTCAGGAGGAGAAATCTCAGGCCTTGCAGAAGTTAACGAATTTAAGCGCGGATATGACGTTTGCCCTCGATTTCATCAACAAGCAGGGTTTGGCTTTGATAATACGACAGATCGAGGGAGGCAAATGTAAAGGAAGTATTCTGGCACATACGCTATTGTCGTTTGTCGAGTTAATGGAGCACGGTATCGTGTCATGGGACATTTTGGAGGGAAATTTTATCAGTCGCGTAGCCGGTTTAGTTAACACCGCGCAAGAATCTCAGGTCACGCAGGCGGCGTTGTCAATTTTGGAAAACGTAGTATTAAATAGTAGCGAGGGCTATGGGCAAGTCGAGCGCGAAGTTCCCGTTCCCTCGCTAATTACTCATCTGCAAGCAGCTCCGGTTGTTCAACAGAATGCGGTCGCTTTAATTAATGCTCTTCTACTCAAGGCGGATGTTGCCAAACGTCGCGTTTTGGCTACAACACTGGCATCTAAACAAGTCAGAAGTGTTATACAGCACAACATCCTGCAGACCGGTGCTGCCGAAGGTGCGGAAATGGCTCATCAATTATACGTGCTGCAGACACTCATGCTGGGACTGCTGGAGCAGCGAATGATGACAAAAATGGACCCCCAGGTAAAATGGCTTAATGATCTTATTTTAAAAACGGATTTATTTCTGCTCTTTATGAAGTAACTCAAAACAATACAACTTTCTGTTCTCCTAAATCAATGCCTTTTGTCCCAATGAATGCTCCTTTTTTGTGTCCATTTTTCGAGTGCCACTATGGGGATCTCACTTATCTTAAGAGATATAAAGTTGGTTAAATGAGGGCAACGTTGCCAATTTTCGTGCCGAATAAGAATCTGAAAAGAAATTTGAAATATCTCCAATAGTTTTGAAGATATCGCACAAAAACGAAAATTTCTGATTTTCGTGTTTATGATAAACTAATCGTAGTAGACATTTCTAATTAACACATTATTCGGACACTTTTTAATGGAGGTTTCAAATATGGCATCCTGTTTTTAATAACTTTCACGATGACTGAGAAACGCGTGGAAACTTTAGTTTTTCTTATGGGCGCCATTTTGAATTTTCACATTTTGAGATTACGTCTTTTTTTCTCTTTACAACAATATATCACACATGGTGGTTCAGTATCACATTTTTCCTAAAAATACAATTTTTAATTTTGTGAGAAGAGTGCTTTGGAAAAACAAAACGTTCTTTTGTTGTAAATAAAAGTTTGACAAGTTCCAAAGCACTCTTCTCAAATAATTAAAAATTGTATTTTTAGGAAAAATGTGATACTGAACCACCATGTGTGATATATTGTTGTAAAGAGAAAAAAAGACGTAATCTCAAAATGTGAAAATTCAAAATGGCGCCCATAAGAAAAACTAAAGTTTCCACGCGTTTCTCCGTCATCTTGAAAGTTATTAAAAACACGATGCCATATTTGAAACCTCCATTAAAAAGTGTCCGAATAATGTGTTAATTAGAAATGTCTACTACGATTAGTTTATCATAAAAAAATTAAAAACGAAAATCAGAAATTTTCGTTTTTTTGCGATATCTTCAAAACTATCGAAGATATTTCAAATTTCTTTTCAGATTCTTATTCGGCACGAAAATTGGCAACTTTGCCCCCATTTAACCAACCTTCTATCTCTTAAGATAAGTGAGATCCCCATAGTGGCACTCGAAAAATGGACACCGTGTATACATAGCATTGATTCAATAATAATAATAATCTTTACTGTGTACTGAGGTTTACCAAATATTCTGTCCGCGTCCGTTTATAGGATAGTCCGCGTATAAGAATATATTTTACATGCTGAACCCTATTAAAGACACGGTTCCAAGAGATTTGTCCGCTTAACAGATATGTCCGTTTATTAGAGCTGTCTGTTAGGAGAATAACAGTTTCAGGGGATGATTTTTCGGGGTTCAACTGCACCTGCCTAAGAAAGACGAATTAGGGTGTAGCGGTCATTTCCTTTATGATTTGCGGTAAACTTTGCATATACTTATATTTGAATGTCACTTAATTTCTATACAGGGTGTCCCTTTTATGTTGAGACAGTCGATTATTGGGGAAACTATAGAAAAATGATTTTTTAAAAGTGTTGTTATCTGCATTCGTAATTTTAGGATCAAGATGGTCATGAGAAAATCAAAGAATTACGCCGCATCGCGTTTGACGGCGAGGGCCCGGGCGGTGCAAGAGGACCCAGCGGTTTTACGCGCGATTATAAGAAGCTCGGATTTAAAAACGATATTAATCCGGCTCTGGACTTTATCGAGACTCCCCCCGGCCTGCTGGCGTTAGACTGCATGATTTACTTCGCGCGAACTTACCCGGACGGCTATACCAAGTTGGTTCTCGAAAATAGTTGTCGAGCCGACGAGCACGAATGTCCCTTTGGACGCGCGAGCGTCGAGTTGGTGCGTATATTATGCGATTTATTGGCGATCGGCGAGGCGCCTTCGGAGCAAGGACAGGCGTTTCAGCCTTTGTTTTTTACGCACGACCATCCCTTCGAGGAGTGCTTCTATATTTGTATAATGCTGTTGAATAAAACCTGGAAGGAAATGCGAGCGACTGCCGAAGACTTTGGTAAAGTCGCCAGTGTGGTTAGGGAGCAAATTGTTCGCGCCCTTACCCTGTCGCCTGCGTCATTGGATCAGTTGAAGGCACGACTACAGGTATTGACCTATAGCGAAATTACAGCTTTGTGGCAGCAAGAACGGACGTCCCGGGAGGAGTGGGAGTCGCATGCCAGACCAATTGTTGAGCTTCGTGAGCAAATCACCCCCGAAATATTGGGGTTGATTAAGCAGCAACGATTAGCCTTCTTAGTGGAGGGAACCCGTTTCACCAAATATTCGGCTCGAGGGCAAAGGATTAAAGACAAGTTTTGGTACATGCGCCTCTCGCCAAATCATAAAGTGCTACATTATGGCGACTGCGATGAGAAAAGTGCACCTACCATCGAAGAGTTGGGATCGAAATTAACCGTTTCAGATGTACGTGCCTTACTTGTTGGGCGAGATTGCCCTCACATGCGAGGACGTAAATCTTCTCATCACCTCGCCTTTTCTTTGGCATTGGAAGGTGTCGATCTGCAATCGTTAGACTGTGTGGCGCCCGACGAGCTAACGTTAGCATACTGGACGGACGGCATAAATACTTTATTGGGGCAGCGAATGCAGAGCCGTGAGACTGACAAGGATCTGGATACGTTATTATCTATGGAAATTAAGTTACGATTACTCGATGCAGAGGGCGTTACCATACCACAAGATCCTCCGCCTATTCCACCGGATCCTCCTAATTATCAATTTTGCTACGACTTAAAATGATCTTTTGTAGGAAAATATATAGAACTGTCATTTTAACCTTTTAAAAATACTCATATTTGTATTCTTCTTATTATACACCCACTAGTTAACTTTTTTTATTTATACCATAAACATCTTTCAAAACCACTACTTTGTATTATATATTACAGTGCCCTTTTTGAAATGACATTCTTCATAAAATGGAATTTCATAGATTACTTAACGGCCTCGCTATGAAATTATGCTTTAGGCTCCTGTCATATCTCTTCATGTTTTTGTTCGCGCTCCTGGCTCATTTTCTCATCGCTTCAATTCCTCATGTTTATCTCCATGCTTCTTTTAAACCTAATTCAGAAGTTCTTTACTCTTTTGTTTTTCCTTACATATATCTTATATATCGTTTCTTGTTACATAACTTACCTGCAGGAACTCATTGACGTACATCCATGCAGAGTTGGACTGGGTCAAGCATAGAGTGACCCGGTGACCCAGTTGACCCGGCGACCCAGCTTGACTCGGTGACCCATCTTGACCCAGCTTTACTCAGTGACCCGTCTTGACCCGGTGGCCCAGTAATTAAATTATTGTTAGGTATCATCCAAAACAATTTCAAGTAACTTTTCATTAAAAAAAAAACTTACTCAATAATATTCGGCAACAAGCACGTAGCCCAATTTCATTCAAGAGAACCAATACCTAAAAAAATCAAATGCATTTGTTTATAGTTTGTAGTCAAGTAGTCAATGAAAGTATTTAGAGAAAAGATTTATTTGGATTAAGCTAACTAGTAGAAAAAAATTAAATGTGAATGAACACCTGTAAGCAAACTGGTAAGCCCTGAAGCAAAGAAATAACATTATTCTAATACAAATCGGGACATGGAAAGTTTTTTATGGCAGTATTAAAGCAAACATCACAGAAATGGTAGTTGTCAAGCAATCTAGTATTATTTTCAACAAACCAGCATTCCATTTATTTCATAATCTGTACACTTGAACCGAGGGCACTGACTTAACAGCGTTATTCGATCAAACTAGGTGACTGGGTCGAATTGGGTCCCCGGGTCAAATTGGGTCAAACTGGGTCACTGAGTCTAACTGAAAAGAGTATGACGTGACCCAGTGACCCAGTTTAATTTAGTGACCCAGCCCAACTCTGCATCCATGTCCTTTTTGCAGTCTTCCAAAACTCCTTCAAGCTTTCTTCACCCCTCTCAGCGCATTTCGTTATCACCTTCGCGCTTGATCCTCCATTATAACACTACTGTTCCAGTTTTCTCACGCTTTCTTTTAATCATTCATCATTAATTTAATCAGTTCTTCTTTGGGTGATATAAACATAATACATACTGAAAACAGAATTGAAAAATTCGAAACCGTTCGTGAGTTATCATGTACACAGACAGACGGACAGAAAGAATAAAATCATGAACTTGCTTTTAGGGGTCCCCATTAATAAATTTGAGCCTAAAAGCCCATGCAAGGGTAGTAAAAGCATCGCGTAATCGCCCTAGTAGTTCGTGTACGCAGTAGTTCCACCGCTCCGTAGGTCAAAATGCCTCATCTTCAAATGACGCTAAATTCTAATTTCTAACCTCAAATAACTATGATCCAAGAACCGGAAACCTTGCTCTGAGACTATGACTATACCAAGTACGAAAAAAGAAATATAAAATGTTACGGCAATTACGTTCATTCGTTAACTATTTCCTCGGCGGTAGTACCGTAGAAGAAGAAGACTCGGCCGATACTTACGACAAAATTTGTAAGATATTGGAGTCCAACGATGAACCTTCAAATGAACCAGCAGCAGCAGTTGAAGAGGAGATCAGTCAATACAGTTGCTTCGAAAAGACGGGCAAGATTACTTCGGCCGATGGGAATTCATACACCGTAGACGAAACCTATCACTTTACGAGCGATTCCCAAACTTTCAAAATTGGCGCTACCGTTTTCTTCACGTGCTACAAATCCGAAAGCGGGCTAAGAGTTTGCGATGTAGCGCTCCACGATGAATGGTCCGGCGAAGCGATTACCGGAGAACGTTCCTGGTGCAGAAGAACGCTTCCTCGTAAAGTGTCAAAGCGCGAAGGTCGACAGATATTTCTAGTGCCGGATAATATCAATTTTGACTTAAACGAGGTATTATTACTATTGATAACAGTAAACTTACGCACTTCTAGGTATGCATCGAATTCGTTCCCATGGCGGGTGACTGGGTGGAATTGCACGTGAAAGTCGAGATCGACGAAACCGTATCGAATTTGTGCGGCAAGATTTTGGAAATCGAACAGGTGCGTCCTCTCGGATCTTATTTGTCCGAAGGTCAGATTAAACGGTGGAATAGTGAGAGACAGGAAGGTGTAATCAATAAGACGATCTTTTTTAATAGCGAAGCTTTAATGTGTGGTTACGTTCCGTTTGTCGGTGACAAGATTACCGCGGAAATTATGGAGAGTGAGCAGGGGGATTACAGTAAGCGCGCGTTGAAGATTGTACCGCAAGATTTAGCCGATAATAAGGTGGGATTGGGTCGTGACATTTTACCAAAGTTTGACGTTCGCAGTGATAAAGTTTTGGCACCGAATGACATTGTTATTAAGAGTACGAAGTTGGGCGTGAAAGAGAAATTTCAATTGCCCTTAAAGAATAAAACTTTGAACGATTTGGTTATACTGAACGTATCGTATCCGTCTTCGAATTCGCAATGTGTCTTGGTAAAACCAGAGGATTTGACGAATATTACGATGCAAAGGTCCAAAACTGTAGTGTTTGAAGGCGTCTGTAAAACGAAGTATGTAGGTGTCTCGAAGGAGCTTATTTTATTTACGTTTTCCAACTTTAAAATTGGTTGTTGGGTGACTGTTAATGTTGAGTTGAATACTTACACTGAACAAGCGATGGTGTATAGATTTCCTTCTACTGCATGTGCACAGTTTGGACAGGGACCTTTAATTAAAGGTCGAAGAAGTACACCTGCAGCTCGTTTTATCGGTATGTGGTATAATCGTTTGTTGAGGAATACCGATCTTGTACAATATTTTCCATGATCGATTCTTCAATTTTAAAAAATCAGAAAACCATGCTCAAAAGTCTTTCAAAACATCCCATAATTAAAACAGAAATCTCCAAACACTCAAATACTTTGGCGCCGTTTTTTGTTTTCAAAAATTTCAATATTTTGAAATAAAGCCAAACCTTTCTTTAGATTATCAAGAGGTCTGCTATTGTAAACTGACAAAGGACACCTTCAAGGGTTATTTTATGCCTCAAATCTACGGCTTACGAGTCGAAAGGACTTAAGCCTCTAAAATCAATTCAATTGAATCTGTTTAGAAATATATAGTGTTGTTACAACGCGCGATTAACTCATCGTGGACTTCGGTAGCTGCGCCGCCTCACCTCTACTTGACAAACTTATTAGGTTCTTAGGTTAATCATAAAAACGGAACCATATTTTGACTCTCCTCCTATTGTACCTAAGTCAACATATCCTTCTAACACATCTTCTACTTGGTTATACCGCACGTGTTTTTTTAAAACAATTTCACATACATAGAGACTTGTCGGATACAGCATAGGGATTACAATTATTATTTTCCAAATTTCCCAAACAACTATTGCCTCTAAAATATTTGGGAAGCAAATAATCGAACTATTGTAATCCCTACGCTGTGTCCCACATGTTAACACCCTGATGATGCTTGATGGGCACTTCTAACAGTTTGCCTCAAGGGATAATGAGCTCAGCCTTTTCTAGTAAGAATTCCTAACTCTCCAACCGCAAAGCTAAGCTGAGTCTGTTATATACGTTTACCTTTAAATGTAATTGGGATTTTATAAATGCAGTGCCTCCCCCCCTGATTATTTGATCGTTTCTTGTAAAAGACAACATTTCAAAGTCTTAGGCCTACTTAGATTTTTTTTATTTTTAACCAGAAATCCAAAAAATGTTATATCGGCTTCAAATTTGCTACATGTTCATTACATTCTATTTTCAACAGGTTTTTTAAGTAACATTCTTCCGGGGTCCTAAACAAATAAAAACAAAAAAAATCAAAGTAGGCCTACTTAGGACTTTTTAGTAGGCAAAGCTACGCTGAATCTGTTATATACGTTTACCTTTAAATGTAATTGGAATTTTATGAATACAGTGCCCCCCTCCCCCCCCTGATTATTTGATCGTTTCTTGTAAAAGACAACATTTCAAAGTCTTAGGCCTACTTAGATTTTTTTTATTTTTAATCAGAAATCCAAAAAATGTTACTATCGGCTTCAAATTTGCTACATGGTCATTACATTCTGTTTTCAACAGGTTTTTTAAGTAACATTTTTCCGAGGTCCTAAAAAAATAAAAACAAAGAAAATCAAAGTAGGCCTGGGACTTTTTTGCACGTTTACTCAGTTTTCATTAATAATATTTGTGCGTATCGCTCCCAAAGAGTGCTGTCTGTTTCTGCTGCTGGATCGCCAAGTTGGTTGGTACTGTAGGGATCTGAGATCACTACGCTTTTACATAAATAAACATTACATCTCTACAGAGATCCTTCACTCAACGCTCTAAAAGCGCACTGCAGATGGAGCGCATACACATTACTTTTTCCTTTACACAATTGCCAGAAGAGGCGCGCAATAACATAAGATAACGGGCGTTAAAAAACTGACGTCAAGTCGCCTTTGGAAGTTAAGCAATTAAATATGAATTCCCATGTAAACAAAAATTCCAAAGGTGACTCGACAGCAGTTTACTCATTCGTAAAAAACCGCAGCAGTGCTGCTCTCAAGTTATTGTGACATGCACGCTCAGTCTATTTTATCATTACAGTTAGACAACTACACCACTACCCGGTTCCACAGCGGTTAATTGAAATCGTATCAACAACCGAGAAGAAAGAAGCAATGCGAGCCGTTCGCGCTGTTAAGCAATGCTTAACTTCCACACTTCAATTTAGTACCTACGAAGATTATTTTCATACATTGCTGCATTTGGACGAAATTTTCCAATTGGAATCCGTCAAACAGTACGCTCAGGACTACGTCTGTTTTATAAAGAATGGGGAATATCTCATGCTCCCGATTGAAAATTTGGCGGAACGACGACCTTCGCTGATAGTCGGCGATAGAATTGTGGCGAAAGATGCGTACGCTTTGGACGCGCAAGAATATGAGGGTTTCATACACAAAACGGACGCGAAACACGTTTATGTCAAATTTGCGGACTCCTTCCATAGGAACTATGACAAAGAGGAGATGTCTGTGATGGTTCTACTTTCGAGAACGATATACAAGCGAATGCATCACGCCATCTCAATGGCTGCGCGAGATTTGAGATCGGCGTTTCTATTTCCATCGAAGTTAACAGCGAAAGATCCACAAGTTATGGTCACCGTGGACGATGATAAAAATTTGTGGATCACTAACGAAGAGAGCAAGGATAAGCCGAACAAAACGCGGTTGAAATGGCACAATCAAAGCCTAAACCATTATCAGAAAGAAGCCGTTCGTAACATTCTGTTAGGAGTCGCGCGCCCTCTGCCTTACCTAATCTACGGGCCTCCTGGCACCGGAAAAACGGTTACTTTAGTTGAAACCGTCCTACAAATTCTACGATTCATTCCGCAATCGCGAATAATCGTAGCTACACCATCCAATAGTGCCGCTAATCTTATAGCACTTCGTCTGATAGATTCCGGCGTATTAAAACCGGGGGATTTAACTCGATTGGTTGGTTACCATTACGCCACCGAAAACTTGCTGCCTGTTGAACTGGTGCCGTATTCTGCGCATGTCGATATTGCCAAGGAGGGTACGCGCGAAAATCATCGAGGTTTGCGAAGGGATTATTTCTGAACGGGTAGTAATTAGTACGTGTTGTAGGATACAATCTGTCGGTCATCGGAAAACATCGAATAATTATCGGCACCTGCTCCACTTTGGGTTGTTTGTATTCTATCGGTATCACGAAGGGACAGTTCACGCATGTTGTTGTCGATGAGGCCGGCCAGTGCACGGAGCCGGAAATTATGATACCGTTATCGCTTTTGGATTTATCCGGGCAAGTCATTTTAGCAGGTAAGCATTTTGCTGGTGCAACATTCCATAATGTTCATATACAGTGCGTTCGAGATAAGAAGGGCATCTCTATAATACTTTTATTTGGTGAGATACGAAAAATTTGTCATATATTGTATACAGGGTGGTGACTTGCGTAACGCATCAGGGATTTCAATGTAAAATTCATAACAAGCGATTATTGGCTCCCCAAATTATTTTAGAGCAACAATGTATTAAGGTTTTTTGTAAAAAAAATTTTTTTACGTCAATCAACCGTATTGGTTTTCAATTTTTTGCAGAATAAAGACGGAAAATTGGAAAAATAAAACCCCCATCTTTTTCAATAATCTGTGATGCCATGGAATGTCGGCTATAAAACAAATCAAATTCTATCAAAAAGTATTATATTTAGAACAGCGAATTCAAAAGGGCCGTAAATTTAGTTTTAATTATATTTCACTGCACCCTGTATTCGTCTTTAGCAAACTATTAGAATTTAACCGCCGTTCTTGTCTTTTATGACTGGCCTATACGGTACACCGCGATGTCCATCCCGACCTAGTGCCCTCGGTGCTTCAGCGCCTCCGGCGCGCCCTCCCCCATTCAGAGCGCGGTGCCGCGGCATCTTTGGCACCTACCTAGTTACGCCACTGGTTCTGAGCTAACCTAACTAACACGCTAACCTAACCGCACTAAAATTTTATTTTAACCTTCGATCTCCTCGCACATTATATTCTCCTGATACCAGATTTCTGAGCTAACCATAGGCTGCATTTACTCTCAAGATTCACTCGGAACAGAATATGCGCTTATTCTGTTTGTACAGTTTTCAATATAAAAATTATTTACAGAAGTTGTACTTTATTTTCCTCCCCAATAACAAAACTGAAGATTAGAGTACAATAAGCACCTGGTCCTTCGCACTTTGCCGAAAACACTTACAAATTTGGTAGGTATCAGGAAGATATAACGTGAAAGGAGGTCTTTCAGTCCCAAATACACCTGTTCTTTGTAGGCAAACTTACGTAAAAGGTGTCTTGCTACTAGGAGAACAGAATTCACGAAAAGGTCTTTTTCTATCACTATGAGAGTTATTTCAAAGCTTAATTTCGATTTAAAAATTTGCCATTCTGTATCGGGATCATATGATGTGCGAGGAGGTGTTTCTTTTCCTAATACTACACCTGTTACTTGTCGACCAGTTACGTAGAAGGTGTCGGGCTACTAGGAGAACATTAATATAAGAAGAGATCGTTTTCTATCTCTGTCAGAATTATTTCAAAGCTTTAATTCGATTTAAAAACTTGCAAATTCTATATCAGGACCATAATGTGTGTGAGGAGGTGTTTTTTTTTCTAATACTACACCTGTTACTTGTCGACAAACTTATGGAAAAGGTTACAAAAGTTACAGCCCTTTGAATTTTCTATCGAAATTGGTTCTAGTCTATAACCTTTGGTTGAGAAGTCTGATCGAAAAAGTACGAATTGTTTTGGATTCTACGCACCAAAATTAATAAGAAAAAGTGTTTTCCCGAGAAATTTTGGTGCAGTCGATTTTTGGTAAAAAAGGAAGGTTACACTGCCTTTTTTTGAGCCCCGAAAAGAAAATTGTCTCAGATCGACCCGGAAAAAAATTTTCTTATAGAATGTGGCCTGTAGAATCCATAATTTCAAACAGTTCCAAGATTGGGCTACTAGTTTAAAAGTTACAGCCCTTTGAATTTTTTTTCGAAATTGGTTTCTAGTCTATAACTTTTGATTGAGAAGTCTGATCGAAAAAGTACGAATTGTTTTGGATTCTACGCACCAGGCATCTCAGATTATTGAAAAAGATGCGGGTTTTATTTTTCCAATTTTCCGTCTTTATATGAAAAAAATGAATGGCACAAAAAAATTTTTTCTACAAAAAACTTTAATACATTTTTGCTCTAAAATAATTTGGAGAGCCAATAAGTGCATGTTACGAATTTTACATTGAAATCCCTATGATGCGTTACGCAAGTCACCACCCTGTATGTGACATCATCTTGGAACTTCCGGAAATCGATGCAAAACAAAAGGGGGAGGGGTTGCATTTTTGGAAAAGTCGCGGAAAGGACTTGCTTATCTCAATTCTTTTAATAGGAGATCCCTGCCAACTGGGCCCTGTTATCCTATCAAACTTGGCATCCGAAGGCGGTTTGACCCACACGTTCCTCGATCGCATGCTGACCACATTTCCATACATCAGAGATGCGGAGGGCTTTCAGGACACCGACGGCTACGATCCTCGACTTGTCACCAAGCTAATTTACAACTATCGCTCCCTACCGACCATACTAAACATGTTCAATCAGTTGTTTTACATGGGACAGTTACAGCCTACAGTCAGTTGGCCGAAATGTACGAGAAGTGCAATTTGAACGCATTTTTTTTCTAGATTTCCGAAGTGGACAGCAAAGAGGCGAAGTTACTGGAAAGCTTAAAAGAAATGTTGCCTGAATCTACCGATTCTAAGGTACCGGCGGTGATATTTCACGGTGTGACTGGTGATAATACACAATCGACGGACTGCCCATCTTGGTTTAATCCAAACGAAGCTAGTCAAATATTCTTTTATGTTCACGAGTTGTACCGCTTAGGGTTGAAAAGTACAGACATTGGAATCATATCACCCTATATAAAACAGGTAGGGGGCTGTTAATGATTTCTAATACTGGAAGCACTGGAGCTCTTGTGGCTGTTGAAATAATAAAAACTGAAACAATGAGTAGATAGTAGATGTAAAAGCTACGGGCTACTACTTTCTTATTTCTTATAGACGCCATATTGGATTTTTACTGAATGAGATTGTTGATTCACCAAGATCTAGTTGCCTGTGGATGTTTTGTTGGGACATGAATGTAAAACATTTGATTGAAGTAGGACGTGCGACACGTCATTGTTATTCTTTTTTGTCCTCTCTCATTTCGTAAAAATCCAATATGGCGGCCATAAGAAATAAGAAAATAATTTTTTTTATTTGATTTACCGCCACAACTGCAAATTTTAGGTCAGAATAATCCGCAGCCTGCTGATGGAGGCCGAATTTGACGTGCCCAAAGTAGGAACCGTCGAAGATTTCCAGGGCCACGAGTGCAACGTAATCCTACTGAGTACCGTAAGATCGTCCACAAACCTTTTGGGGCACGATCAACAATACCGGCTAGGTTTTCTCGCTAATCCGAAACGATTAAACGTCGCGATAAGTAGGGCGCAAGTTTTGCTAATTATCGTCGGAAATCCGCACTTGTTAGGTAAGGATCCTCATTGGCGCGGCGTTATAAAGTATTGTATTGAAAATGGTGCTTACTGTGGCTGTGAATTGCCGAAAATTTGAATATTTTTATGTTAAAAGTGACGTGTATTTTTGTGTATTCTATTGTTTTGATTCTTTATGCATAAGACTTACTATTTTCATATTAACATGTGAAATTTTTTTTCTTTTTGACATTTGGTGACAAATTTTCCTTATTTTTTATACCCATTGACTTATGTTCCTCCTTTCTGTCGTCTGTCTATCCACATAATACCATGAGGCGGTCTTGAACAGTTACGTATTATGGTGTGCATTGTGCAACTGTCTTTTGTTATGTAATCACGGCCGTTTACGACTGCAAAAATTTAAATGCAATGTATACAAAAGAACAATTTAAAAAATTACCTCAAGACCTGTTCAGGGTGTCCTATAAAGAAAGGCCCCAGGTCAGATCTATGGAATTGTTAATTGTACACCTGGGTGAAAAAAAATTTGTTAACAAATCACGCTGGAAATTACTTTCAAGTTTTTAAGTTTGCCGCTCGAGGGCGTAGGTACTATACATGAATAATTTTTTCCTAAAATATACCCAACAAACATCCATAAAAAAATACATGCATTGCAATCTTGTATGAATGTTGCAGCGAAGTAGGGAAGGGGAACATCTCTTTAAGGAGTCATTGAATGTAACTCACATAATTGATCTTATTGGAAAGAGCAGGTTTTCTTGAAAATTTCAAATAGAAGGATATGATGTTATCAAAGAATGTGAAAGAGTGGAAATGTCGGTGAAAACCGCATTTTGATATCTGTTTACTGAGCATAGATTGGCGAAAATATGCGCATTCATAAATTTAAATGGCAATATTCATCCAGGTTGGCTGTGAAACCAAAGAAATACATTGCCACGCAAACAAAAACTTATCTGCAGAGATTTCGTCTTTGTATTCAAAATTATGGCAGATAGTTTGAACATTTACTTTAGATTATAATTATTGTTTCTTCTATCATTTAATATATTTCTCTGATTTAAAGTTTTAATAATTTATTTGTTGCTCACAATTTAAAAACTTATAGTGAGTGTTAATTTTAATTATCGTTTGTTATGTGTTCTTTTGTTTCAAAGCTAACTTGGATGAATATTGCAATCTAAATTTGTGAATGCGCATATTTTCGCCATATCCATAATCGGCAGATATCAATGCGTTTTTCACTGTTTCATCTTATTTGATAATATCATATAATAATTATATCGTTTTATTTGACATTTTCAAGAAAACCTGCAGTGGTTAATGTCAAACGTCTACCACTCATCAGTGGCGTATTTACGGGGGGGGGGGGAGGTTGTGAAGGGGATATATTCCCCCCCCCCCCCAGAAGAATTGAGTTATCATCATAGCTATTAGGTAATACTCCGCTATCCGCTCCGCCCACTTTAAAATAAAGGCAATAATATATAGGTATATATAGAGAGCAATTTGGGTTTTGGTTAAAGTCTAAAGTCACTAAAATCTAAATATTCTGTAGTATTCAGTATTCACTATTCAGTGAGTGATCAGTGTTGGCAGTCAACGATTTGGCTATTCGGCATCGATCGGCAATTCGCTACATTGATGCCCAAAATAACAAATAGGTATCAGCATTGTTTAAATACTTTATAAACAATGGTATCAGGTACTTAGTACTGCTACTGAGGTGAGGTACCTGCGTCCTGCCTTTCACGAATGACGAAAATAAGAATTTTAAAAACAGGAATTTTTTTGCCCATAACTTTTGATTGAGACGTCTAATCGAAAAAGTACGAATCGTTTTGGATTCTACGCACCCAAATTAATTAGAAAAAGTTTTTTCCCGAGAAATTTTGGTGCAGTCGATTTTTTGTAAAAAAGGAAGGTTTATACCTACACTGCCTTTTTTTTGCCCAGAAAAAAAATTGTCTCAGATCGATCGGAAATATTTTCTTATAGAATGTGGCATGTAGAATCCATAATTTCAAACAGTTCCAAGATCGGACTACTAGATCAAAAGTTACAGCCCTTTGAATTTTGTGTCGAAATTGGTTTTTTGCCCATAACTTTTGATGGAGACGTCTAATCGAAAAAGTACGAATCGTTTTGGATTCTACGCACCCAAATTAATAAGAAAAAGTTTTTTCCCGAGAAATTTTGGTGCAGTCGATTTTTGGTAAAAAAGGAAGGTAATAACTGCCTTTTTTTTGCCCAGAAAAAAAAATTGTCTCAGATCGACCGGAAAAAAATATTTTCTTATAGAATGTGGCCTGTAGAATCCATAATTTCAAACAGTTCCAAGATCGGACTACTAGATCAAAAGTTACAGCCCTTTGAATTTTTTGTCGAAATTGGTTTTTTGCCCATAAATATACCTATTATTCAAAGTTTTCGTTGACTAATTAAAGCAATAAAGGGGCCTGTCAGCAGTAAAATATGAGTACACTAAGAGAACTCTTTCGAATAAGACCAATTATGTGAAAAGCGATAAACCTAAACCGAAGTTACATTTAACTACTTGGTTGGTTCGTAAAAAAATCAATTTTTTTCGTGTACCATAATTTTACACTTTGTACTTATAAATTCTATAATTATGCGCAGTGCTAACGTATTGTTGCATTTTACAAATGGAAAATGAATACACATGTCAAAAAATGGATTACTTTTATGCCCAGATCTAACTTTCTTATTTGTGTACCACTGTTTTGTGAAGATGCTTCTTCGCGGTTGCCCAGAGTCAGACGGATTTTTCGAACATTTTAACAGACGGCGGTACTTACAAAACTAAATTGAGCGCATATACAAAAAAAAAGAAGTTACGCATGCGCAGGTTCAACTTTTTTATTTGTGCACCAATTTTTCTGAAATTTGAACAGAATCTTTTTATAAGAGAAAATTGAAAACGTGTGTGAGAGAATGGATTGCGCGTACGCATAGCCAAGATCTTGGCGCATTTCCACAAAAATGTGCTATTTTGACAACTTTTCGTGGTTCCGTCTCTACCGACTGTGTCGCTTTCAGATCTTTATCTTAAGAGCTACTTTTTTTTCTATTTGGTGCGTCATGATTTCGACGCTTTCACTAAAGAAAGAATTTTTCTATCTCTTACAAAGACAGCAAAAAATCTATTTTTTCGCTTCTCACAATGTAACCTCAATCGCTGCTAGATTCCACTGGCAATATCAACACTTATTTGAAAAACACACTGTCTCCTGAAACTTCCTTCTTTCTAGCACCCGTCACACCCGTAACGAAGTGATCGATATAGTTAAAAAGCTATCTCAATCAAGCAGCTGTGATTACTACGACCTAAACAGTAAAATTCTAAAAAATTGTATCGATATAATATGTAAATATTTCACAGACTTAGTTAATGACTGCTTTCTTGAAGGTACATTTCCGCTGTGCTTTAAAACAAGTAGGGTTGTTCCTCTGTTTAAAAAAGGTGACAAAAATTGCTTAGATAACTATCGCCCGATTTCTATTGTGTCTGTTCTCGGAAAAGTAATAGAAATATTGATAAAAAATAGACTTATCGATTTTCTTACTTCAACACGAATCCTTAGGGATTGTCAATACGGATTTCGAGCTAACCACTCAACAACTAAAGCAGTTTCTCAACTTATTGATCTCATTGTTGATGCTCTGGAAGATCGTTGTAACGCTACTGCCCTTCTATGTGATCTGACAAAAGCTTTTGACTGCGTGGTACCCTCAATACTACTGCAGAAGTTGCATTATTACGGAATACGTGGAAAACCACTAGATCTTTTTCAGTCTTATTTAACCGACCGCATGCAGTGCGTTTCTTTTAATAACAAAAATTCCGATCTAGAAGCGGTAACTCTTGGCGTCCCACAAGGCTCCGTATTGGGTCCAATTTTATTTCTCTATGTCAATGATTTACCAAAATCAATTAGTGCAGGTAAATGTGTGCAATTTGCAGATGATACCACTGTGTTTTGTAAGGCCAAAGATACGCTTACACAAAATGAATGTATCGCCATTGCTGATAGACAAATAAACGACTGGCTTCAATGCAATAAATTAAAACATAACGTCAGCAAAACTCAAAAAATTAATTTTACCGCCACCAGATCTATTTGTACTAGAAACTCGGTCAAATTGCTAGGTATTACATTAGACAATGAACTCAATTGGGAGACTCACGTGGACAGATTATGCACGACATTATCTTCCAACATTTATTTGTTATTAAAATTACGACAATCTGTAAATGTTCATGTACCTACTCATATCAAGCTACTACGCTTTCATTCACTCCAGAATTAGCTACGGGATAACTGTATGGGGCAGATCTCCTCATTCTGAAAGAGTCTTTAGAATTCAAAAAAAAAGCTGTGCGGATTATTGCCAGTATTGGAAATAGAGATCATTGCAGAGATGTGTTTAAACATTTTAAAATAATGCCATTACCATGCATATATATTTATAACACATTAGTTGATATCCATAAATTAACAATCTCTAAAGGAGAAGTATCAGATAGGAGCCATCCACAATTACAACACTCGCCATTGTCAATTGTTATTGCCCCCAAAATTTAAGCTATGTGTGTCCGACAGAAACTCACTGAATGTAAAACTCTACAACAAATTGGATAGTCAATTAAAACTAATATCATTGCCGAAATTTAAAATTAATGTTAAAAAACTCTTGTTGCAAAATTGTTTTTACAGTATCGCAGAATATTTCAATACTCCTTAATGCACGCGAATCTAGTCTTGTAGTTCCTAACATACTGTGATATTTTTAATGTGTGAAATATATAATACCTATACTCGTTTATGTCTCATATACCATTTGGACGTGACAAACAATGTAAATTGAATAGGTCCAATAAACATTATTATTATTATTATAACCCATTTGCCGTTTATTGTGCTTATAAACTTTATGTGTGCGTTTTTTACATTGTGATTTTTGAGTAACCAAAGCTTAATAATAATAATAATGCACTTGCACATTTTAGCGATCATTTTGGATCAAATAAACCCAAAATTTGATTGAGGAAACAAGTCAACAGCATTTTTATATAGAAAAAAATAAAATTGGCTCTTCGCCATTTTACTAAATCAGACATCTTCGCGGGCATATGTCCCAACATTCCCCAAAGTTTCATCGCAATCGAATGAACGGTTTAGACAGGTATAAAAGACATCTACATTCATTTTTAGGTATACCGGGTGGTGCCTAGCGCAACGCAGCATAGGGATTTCAATGGTAATTTCTTGATAGTCAATTACTAGCTCCCCTAATTATTTTAGAGCAAAAGTCTAAATACGTTTTTTTAGAGAAAAAAAATACTGCATCTGTTCATACTATTACTCATAATTTTCCGTTTTTCAAAACCGTAGAAATCGACAAAACAAAAAGGTTCATTTTACAATAAATCAAATATGCCTTGGAATTACCTAAAAAAAAACAGCGATCACGTTTCATTATTCGCCTTTGACATATTAAATTTATACTTGTTTATAAATTAGTTAAAGAACTGCAAGTGCAATAACGTTCAAAATGTCCGTCAAAACCATCAGGAAAACGACAATATACATTCAACGTTTTGGCTGCAGTAGCGGAAAATCCGAATATAAGTTTAGGAACAAATCTTCTTCAAATCATTTTTTTTCTTCGATTTAGGTACTCTGATTCCGGAAAATGATAAACAAATAGTATCTGATGCAGATGCAGCATACATTCTCTAAAAAAACATTACCCTAAGATGCCTTTTATTGCGTCGGTTAGTTCAAACAGTATTAAATATGAAAATCGTTCGACTACAAACAAGTAGGTGCGATGCGCTTGTAGTTTGTTAAAAGATTCCAAAGCATCACTGATTTATAAAAATGTAATTTTTTATTTTGTCAATTTCTACGGTTTTGAAAAATGGAAAATTATAACTAAAAGTATGAACAGATGCAGTATTTTTTTCTCTAAAAAAAAAAACGTATTTAGACTTTTGCTCTAAATTAATTAGGGGAGCTAGTAATTGACTATAAAGAAATTACCATTGAAATCCCTATGCTGCGTTGCGCTAGGCACCACCCTGTATAGATTGCAATTGTTTTGGACCAAACCTCAATTTCATTAAATCAAGATATTTTTGATCTATTTTGTACACTCCAATCGAACCATTTTCAGTCCAAGCTCTGTATAAACTTGCCTCCTTATGTAAGACGGTAGTAAAATTCCTATAGTGAAAGTGGTGTTCTTCGAGCTCCTCAAAATAGGTGTCAATGCGCTCTTTATCACTTTATCAGTCAGATAAACTGTTAGTTTTGCGAACAGACGGAAGTATGACACGCAGCCAAATGAGGCGAAAATGGGAAATCAATTGAAATTGGCCAATTTCTGAGACGAATACGCGGACGCATTGTCGTGGTGACACTAGATTTTTTTCTTCGCCAACCCTAGCCGTCTCTTCGCGATTTCGGCCTGCAAACGGTTCAAAAGTGCTGAATTGTACCCTTTTCAAAGTAGGCGACTTTTAGAACACCCCTTTGAATATCAGAAAACAAATGCCGACCGACGCAACCCGCCTACTCCCTCTACGTCGGGCGCGGTTCGATCACCTCTTATAGTCCACCGTCTTTTGCTTCAAGAGTGTAGTGGCGAGTCCAGGTTTCGTCCAGCGAGTAACAAATCAACTAATAAAGTCCACTCCATTGTTTCGCAACAGGGTCAAATCGGACTTCAGCGCCCGAACCCGCTTTTGACCCGTGGGCATCGTCTGCAAGCGCGCCACCCATCACGAGCAAATTTTTCATGTGCAATTTTAATTTTTGAAAATGGGGAAGTGTTGGTATCGCGTGTTTTTTTACCTCTACATGAAAAATAAGATTTTTGAAATCCATTTAGAGCTATAGTGCAAAATTTAAATTTTTGAAATTAAACGCGACACAGTACTTTACCCAAACTGTCTGATAAAGTGAAATTTTCCACTCAATACCTTTGCACCAATAGGCGTGATTTTATAGAGCAATTTTAGTATCCCTTTTCTGGGCTAGAACTGTACATGTGCAATTTGGGAACGATTAACAAAAATTGAGAAATGAGGTGCCCTGACAAGTTGCACCTCTTTTCTTGGCTCTTTAATTATTGCGAGTAAATAAATTGACCTAATCTAGAAATATGGGCACGCAAATACCTACAACTTTCCAATGTTCAATAATCATTTCAGGGGAAGTTTAATTGCATACTTAAATTGACAATTATGCTCATTTAACTACTTAATTACGGTAATTAGAGCGTATGGGAAAATCATTAACCTTCCCAAGATATTAGTTTCTTAACCCATATGCAGCAAAGGTCCATTTCGGTATCTAGTGGTATTTTAAATACAATTTAAAGTAAATATGATAACAAATTATCTTTGGCGCCATTTACGTAAACGGATATTGAAAAGTGTTTTATTTAAATAAATAACAAAAATAGTACAAATATTGGTAACTTTGATGTATAACTAGACTGGAATGCCCGTTGATGTAGGATTGTTTCTTAGAGACACTCTAGAACTGCTTAACGACGAATAAGACTTGTGCAGTTTTTTGCAACAGCAGCACAAATCTTGTAACAGACCATCCAAACTTCCACTCGAGTCGGACCTATAGAGACCACCGGATAATTGTTCCCACGAAGTATCTCCAATAAATGCTTGTAAATCGCTTTTTGGAAAACCCTGGTTGTAATATACCTTAATGGTGTCATAGGCGTCCATGATTACCGCTATGAATAAACTTAATACTACGTAAATGTAAACACTTATGAATGAGTAGAGGTACATCCGACTGAACCACCACAGCATTGGAGATTTGTCGTCCATAATTGAGAAAGTTGCGAACATGTCGTCACCATTTACAAGTGAGAAGAGACATTCTGATGTTGTAGATAACGACCTAAACTTCATATGGTAGGGCCCCAAAACTAACCATCCGCAAAATGTGTAACCGGCATAAATAATCAGAGCGCATAGGGAAAATCGAGCCACTTTCGGGGCAGCTTTTTTCAATGTTAGTATGACCGCATTGTATGTTTTAAAGAAGCCCAAATATCTCAACACCCCGAACCATACCAACATATTTCCCGTGCCCAAGAAAACACTACCGATATTCCACTGATTCGCTGTGAAGTGGCTGTGTTCGATTTGTTCCTTAATTCCAGACCCAATGATAATCAAGACATCGTTGACGATAATCATGAAGTACCACATGTTCAGAAACTCCATCTTGTCACTATCGTTCAGTTCCCGGCGATAATTTACTTTGAAAAAGTTGTTAGTGATCACCTTCAACTGTTGAGCTCGCCAAAGCGCACGACTACAAAGCACAAATGACACGGTGCATATTATAATCACCAACACGTTCAGCAAACTGGTCAGGATGCGATCGATCGTATTCTCCAATACGTAGTGGATATTACCCTTACATATCAACCGTATCGGTTCAGCATCCAGCGACAGCAACATCTGACCGTCGTGGTCTCGATTATCAAAGTAAATCGTTATATCAAACCTGTAACAATCAGGCGGGGTCATCGGACCGGCCCCCCTAAAGTTGACAGTTTTCACCGAAAAACTCAGAGTTGCCCGTATTATCGCCGTAAAACTAAACTCGGCATCCTCAAAGAGCTGTGCCGAACGTAATTCGTTCGTAATATTAAAGCACTCCTCGACAATTGTCGCGTCGAACACATACGATTCGTTAAAACCGTAAATAATACCCTTCTTATACTTGTAGAGGCAAAGCACTAAAGGTACAATCTCATTGTTCTCACTTGGGTACGAATAAGGTCCGATGGTGTCGTTTAAATTAACATACGCGTCTAAGGCATAGTCAATGGTCTCAAAGAATTCCGCCACCTTATAGATCGCCAGTGGTCCCGCCGACGGAGGATACGAGTTGATTTCACGCGATGAATCCCAACCGTTGAGAAACAAATGGGAGAACGTAACGCGATTATCCCACGTATAGTTAATGTGCGTGTATCGATTATTCGCAAACAAACAAAGCTGTAGCGTTACCAGAATGATCTTGATCACTTGTATCATGAATTTGTAAGGAAACCTCTTCTTCGCCTGCCACTTCTCGATCGGATTCATAAAGAAGAATTGCAATTTTCTTCGCATTTTATCTTCGGTTAATAAAGGCATTGTTAGATCTATTAGTTCTTCCTCTTTTAAATCGTTCAGATTGTGGTCCTCTTCGGTATCGGAACTACATCCGTCTGGTGCCTCACATCTACTTTGTTCCATTACTGATAATTTTTACATCAAATCGTATTTAAATAGCAATAAAACACGCGCGTGATAACTATGAAACTACTTGAATTTATTATCTATACATTTTTCAATAAATAATCATGTTTTTGACAGTGTTTGTAAGTCAAGGTTATAATATGACAGTTTCCTTTTTTATCAAAAGATCTACAAGTAGTTCAACTGCAACATTATGAATGCATTGTACCTACTGTGGTGTAATGGAATATAATAACGCAATTTGGACCCAATCTTACACACAGTTTGTGTAAAGTATAATCTTCAAAAAGATTGTGCATGTATTTTTGTGTGGAGGTGGGGTCCATATCTCCCAGAGCCCCCTCCCCCTACATTCTCCACAAAAATATTTGGTGCTTTTAACACATACAGGGTGATTCCTATAGTACCTGCCACCGTTTGGGAGCGTGTAGGTGGTGCGTAGGGGAGTATTTTGATATAGGACACTTGGGGTCGGAAATCTAAAATAAGGGTGCCAGAGCCAAATTTACCTTCTGGAATTTCGCGCCTGTAGGTAGGCAACCCAACCGGCCGGCGGTGCACACGGAGCGATCTCAGGTGAGGGAACACTTGGACCAAACCTATCCGGACAGATGGATCGGCCGTGGAGGTGCGGTGGAGTGGCCTGCCCGCTCGCCCGACATCACCCCATTAGATTTTTACTTGTGGGGTGTGATGGAAGCGCACGTCTACGAGACTCCCGTCGAATCCGAAGAGGACTTAACTGCGCGCGTCGTCATGGCCGGAGAGGCTGTTCGCCAGGACATAGGAGTCTTCACGCGAGTTCGAGGGGAGTGGTTGGCTAGATGTAGGAAGTGCATTGAGAACAACGGTGGCCACGTTGAACACTTGTAAACGTTATTGCTTTTGACTGTCGTTTTCCCTCCTCCCTCCCATGTCGCTTCCTCGCGCTAACTCGCTCTGCATCGCTCCGCGCGAAACGTCGGTCGGTTGGGTTGCCTAAATACAGGTGTGAAATTCCAGAAGATAAATTTGGTTCTGGCGCCCTTATTTTGGATTTCCGACCCCAAGTGTCCTATATGAAAAGACTTCCCCTAGGCACCCCCTATACGCTCCCAAACGGTGGCAGGTACTATAGGAATCACCCTGTATACTGATGCTACTACTACTTCAGCTTTACCCTGTGTGTCACAGCTTAACTGTATAGTCAAGATATCACGGCCAGACATTGGAGTGATCGTAGATTTATTTAATAATTTTATCCCAAACGTGAGCAACGAATCTTCTCATCAAAATATCTTGGTAATTGTAGGAACAGAAACGCTTAAGGCACCTCTAAAAAGCATTATGCGGGTCACTCTGTAATTGGGCGCAAGCCTGTTGAGGGCCCAGAACAAGAGAGAGATAATAAATAAATAATATTTCATTCTCTAGGTTTTAGCATTTTTACGGGAAGATTCGAGGGCCACTATCACGTAGGGTTGCCATCTCAAAACTCTACCAACTAAGACAGTTAGCGTGAAAACCCCGGATTTAGGGATTATAAACCCAGACATATCAACTGTAATTGGGTGCAAGCCTGTTGAGGGCCCAGAACAAGAGAGAGATAATAAATAAATAAACTGAATTTAGTAAAGAATATTTTCTAAAGAAATAAAACAAACAATTAATTTTCTAAATAAAACAAGTACTCTAAATCACGAAACAAAATCTTCTTTAACTGTTAGGAATCAGCAACGGCTTATCCACATTTTTAAATTCTTTAAATGAAGCAATTTTTTAACAAATTAAAATACAAGTTATAAGAAGATAATAATAATAATTTTTAAATGGAACAAAAATTTGGTCTTTTAGTAAAATAAAATGTTTAGGGAACTATAGGGTTTACCAATAGGGACGATAGGATTTTAAACGTTTAAGGCGGCTATGTTGGATGCCAAACATTTGACATATGCTGTCAGTTGTCATCAGTAAGGCTTGCCATTTCATCATGAACAAGTTCACGTTGCCTCAACGCTTAGAAATTATCCAACAACATGCCACACAGCGAACGCTACAATGGACTTATTGCGTCAACAGTTTGGTGAATCGTTGATTTCTCAAAATGGCCCCCACAATTGGCCGCCAAGATCATGCGATTTAACACCATTGGACTTCTTTTTGTGGGGCTATGTGAAGTCAAAGGTTTATGCGAATAAACCCAAGACTCTTGACGAGCTCGAGGCCAACATTCGAGCGACCATAGCTGCCATTCCACCCGATATGATCCACCGAGTCATCGAAAATTGGTCCGATCGGATGAGCCAGTGCAAAAAGAGCCGCGGTGGCCATTTGAACGATATTTTGTTTAAATCATAAATGGCATGAAATACAGCATCTAATAAAACCAATCAAACCTAAATTTGACCAAATTGACTGTGTTTTATTTCAATTTAAAATCCTATCGTTCTTATTGGTAAACCCGTTATTTACTTTTCAGGTCTTCGGTACTTATCCGTTTTTCCAATAGCTTTTAGAATATCTTCCTTACTTAAAAGAAATTTATAAAAATCTACACAATTATAATCTTTGAAATTGAACTTCATTTTTATCACTGACGAGACTATTTCAATATACAATAAATTCCTTTATTTTGTCCACTGTTGTGCCACTAGTGAAAATATTCTTTCAGCGTTGTCATTATGAGCAGGAATGCAAAAAAAGTAGTACGCAATTTTCAATAACTCCGAGTACCTATAAATGAGCATTCGGTGTTTTAAAAAATTGTTACCAAAGCTGATTTGCGCTTGAAAGTTTATCTTGTTGGCTTAAATTTTGACAGAAAGATTTTTAATTCACCCACTCAGTACCTCAAAACCCGGACTACCATTGGAAACTGCCGGGACAAATCCGGACGGATGGCAACCCTATACTATCACGGGAGTCCTTACGACTGAACGTTTTTAGAGAGAATTTAACACCGGGGGGTCTGAGCCATCCCCTCTAGCGTACGAAAATGAAAATGTTATGATAGTTGTAGGAAAAGAAACACTATGAATTTTCATTTCCTGGGGAGATTTTCCAGACACCCTGCTTCTGCATTCACCCCCAGCTTTTAGCACTTACACCAGATTTGATGGTTCTTTACGAAAAATTGTCACAGGAGTTCTTAGGGCGGAACGTTTTTAAAGAAGAACGCAGCACCAGGAGTTACAGTGCAAAAAAATCTTACAAGAGGGGGGGGGGGGTCCTTTCATCTGGACCTAACGGGACTATAGGGAGGGGTTCCATACGTCTGGACCTCATGGTACTATGGGAAAGTTCCACATTTCAAGATTTAGGACAACTTTTGTTTGTTTGTTTGGGTCGTATTTTGGTTCCATGAAACTGCTTTGTTTACGTTTTGCATTAAAAGACAGGGATATTCGCCCACGTATGATGGATGTATATACCAATAAAGGGGAAGCAGAGAAGTGATTTTCGCCATTTCTGTGTGAAAATGTTTTGCAATAGCAATAGGGAAGTAAATTTGCCGTTGCTTTAGAATTCCGGGAATAATATGTAAACAGAAAGTCTGATGCATTTGATTGGACCATTTTTTGAAATGGGCCAATCGTAGCGAGTCTTGCTGTTGTGACGTCATGATCGCAATCTTCTTCACTATGTCGTTGGTGTAGTTTCGTTCCAAGCGTGGTGTATTTTTTCGGTTGTCTGCTAATTTACGCAGTGCGATATTAAAATAAACTTTAAAAAAGTCAATTAAAAGACGGGGACAATTGTGGTACATAGTTCGTTTCGGTGCATCATGCGTAAATCGGTGTTAAAAACGAAATCTTTTACTACGAAAAGTTATGGGGACCCTTCTCTTTCTCGTTCGAATTTAAATCGGCGTTTGCGTGTAGGATCTCGGGACGCGAGCACGTAAATTTTGATTTTGTTGTTAAATTCAACCCTTAAAGTAACAAAAACCGGCGGGGAAGTGTTCCCAAATCGGGTTTTTTAGTGTCATGTTAAATGTTATCAGAAGCTAAAGAAGATGGCGTCCTATTTTAAATTCGTAACTTAACGTTTTTTTGTGCACTTTTTTCGTGTGTGGAATCAAGAGGCCTAAGATTTCATGGATATGTTGATGTGGGGTAAGTTTGTAGACCTCTAAAAGTTTTGTGGTAATGGTTACGATAATGCTTACGTTCACCAGACGAAGTGCTTCATTAGCGTTACCTAAAGACAGGAATACTCTTAACAAGGTTTCCTGCTCGAGTTGCTGTCTGATAACACTGTTGTGAGGTGTACACACCACAGTGAGTCGACGTACTGTGATATTTACACCTCCACAGTGCTCACACACAGCAACTCGCGAGAAGCACCTTGTTAGAGTATTTCCGTCTTTGAGTAGCACTCATGAAGAGCTTCGTGTGGTAAACGTAAGCACTGCTTGCGCTAGCTTTAACATATGACGTACCTTAGTGTCGACGGTTTACCATAAAACAACTCGCTGAGTTATTATTAGTTTTTGATGTATCTATCAGGCACGGTAAGGCTCCGTCATTTTGCTACCCTTTATATTAATCCGCTGAAGTCGGTTATGTCACGTGTGTTCAAGTTGTAACTTTTAACTTGTCCTTTCTGTACAGTCCCATTACAGACCGTTAAAAAACGTTCAACATAAAGATATTGAATTAAACGTGCCTGCCTGTTTCGTCACGACTTAAAAGTGTGTGTTAGCACAAACCGTTGCTGGTCGTCACCGTGATGGAACCCAACGGACAAATGTGCAACAACCTTAATACAGCGGTGTGATCACAGACTTGGCGAACACTGCGCTACAATCGTGACAACTTCATTGAAATCCTGGTACTCACAATCGAAAGTCTGCGTTACTTCGTTAAACTTCATTCAGATGTCCACTCCAGTTCGACGGAATCTTTACCCCGGGCAGCACTAGCATTCAATGTCAGATGATAAATTTCTAATTACCAGTTTTACCTACTACGTTTATTCGACTTGCTGCTAAGTAACCAGACCCATAAATATCGATGTCGTTCACATCTTAATTCCTCTCCGATATCTGCAGTTTTTACAAATTACTAAGTGGAAGAGGATACTTTGGTCACGTTTCGCATCCCAATTCGTTCATTCATTGGGGCATACTTTAAGTTCCTGTTCATTTCATCAATCAATAC